CATTTAGGGGTACCTGTCCTCTAAATTACACACAATTATTATTATTATTATTACAGGTAATTAATTAAATTTAATTATTCAGTCCATTTGAATTTGCAGCTAACGTTAGTACAGACATAATATAATTTCATTTTATTATTGGACTCCTTATGGGACCCTTGCATGAAAACAGCCTCCTTATGGTGACATTTGGGACAGGGATGACAATAGGTACGGGCCAGTGTAGGGTCATCCACCAAATCGGGATTAATTAAGGACAGTTCACTATAGATATAGATATATATATATATATATATATATATAAATAGGTAATATAGAAATAAACTAATAATTAATAACTATACTAGTTTTTTTTGCTAATATAGTAATATTAATAAAATATTTTGATTGAATTGATGTCTATTAATATAATAATTATTGAATTGATGTCTATTAATATAATTATCATTCATTATTATCATTAAATAAATAATTCAATATATAATATAAATAATATATATATATATATATATATTTAGTATGTATAGTATATATATAGATATAGTATGTATAATATATATATATATATTAATATAAATACTTGATATCATGTTTGATGTTATTAATATAGACACAGTACTGGTCTTTAGTAGCCTCTCGTTGATATAGACAGGTCCGACACTATATACCAGTCCCCACAACACACACCCACCCAACCATCCATCCATCCATCCATCCATCCATCCAACCCATCAAATAGTATCAATACAAGTCAATCGATATTATTTTTTGAAAATTATTTTATGAGGTAATAATAATAATTAATTAATTTTTTTTAGTTAATTAGTTAATCAAAATAAAAATTAAATTAATTAAAAATAAATAAATAAATAAAAAACTCACGAAAAATACTAGAGTCCGTTGCTCTTTGTTTTGTCGCTGATATAGCATATTATTGCTGTCCATTGTGTATGGGTTTCCGGGTTAGGTATGTATGTGTGGGTTGGGTTGGGTTGGGTATCGGGTTATAGATTTATAAAAATAAATAAAATAGTTATCATTGTCAGCGGTTTTTTTTGGACTAATTATTATTATTATTTAGATTTTAGACATTAGATATATATATACATACCATTCGGGACAGAACCGGATCCTAACCCGATCGCAACCAAACCGGAAATCTGGTTGATTACCGTCGCTCATGTCGTTTAATAATAATAATAATGTTTTTGAAAATTTTTAATTAATTAATTTGTTTGTTAAACAAAAATTATTGACACCAATAAAATAATACACAATTTAATAGTCTATTTAATTATGTCTAACACACGATATAACGATATTTTTATATATATATATTTTTTGCCACAAAATAATTATTATTAGTTTACTTATTAGACTTTTGAATATATATCATATATGTATATAAATGTTGTTTTTTATTTTATTTTTTTAAACTTATAATAATAATAATAATTAGTAGTAATAGATATTTATAACAAAAAAATATGAGTAAATATATATTATTTTATTAATTATAAGTTTGGATTATTATTATTATTAGTATTGTATATACAGTACTATTAATAGGCAATTATTATACTTTTATTTCAATGTTAGGAATATTTTTTTTAATTTAAATATATATTTATAACAATTATCAGAGAGAAAAAGTTTATACTGTATTCAAGTTTATAATATATATATATATTTAAATAATTAAAATTATGATAATTAATATTATTAATAATAACAGATTAGTAAAATAATTATGAATTTAATAAATATTCAAATATTAGTATTTAATTATTTTAAAAGTAAAAGTTATAGTTATTTTCCTTTATTTAATATATTATTAGTATATTTAAAAAAAATAGTTATAGTTTTATAATTATTTGAATGATTTCTAAAATTATTATTTGAAATAATACTAAACTCTACAAAAAAAAAAATTAAATCAATTATTTTTTATAAAAAAAATTACCTTAAATTAACTATTTAAGTATGATTTTACTTATTATTAATAATATTAGTAATTTTATTGATAAATATTTATTGACAAATACAAAGTTTTTAATTTTTTTTACCGTAATAACTATTATATAATTATTTACATATAATTATTAAATTATTATTTAAAAATTATATATTAAAATAAATTAGTAAATTATATWTTTTTTTATTACTATTTATCTATATTTTAATCAAATAATATTTTCGACAACAATTTTTCGATATCATTGATAATTTATACGATAATAACAATATTACGACAATTATTAGTATATTTATGATATGAAACAAACTTTCGTTAACTAATAAACATTTTCGGATTGAATAGCTGTCGGCAGTAATAGTGGCCAACAATATAGTCGGCGTATATAGATTTCGGTAGTTAAACGATGCAACTGTCCATTCGTCTACCTCGACGGCCAATGTGTCCGACCAGTGCCTCAATCGGCAGTCATAGTGTGTATGACCGTTGACTACGAGTCGCGGACCTAACCCGTCGACAATAGCCTGGCTGGCCGTCCGGGATAGACAGTCAAGTTTTGTCCGATACGGTATGTATCGCTGGTCATCGGGTATTGAATCCCAATCGTGGCCACATTGGGCCTCATTTTGCCGATATAACGGATAGTGTGTCAGTACAATAGGCCGCCGCCGCCGCCACTGTCGATGTTTGTGACAATTGTCGGTAATGTTATTGTTGTTTACCGATTGTCGGCGACGACATAATTGTTCGGCTAATGTACGCAACTGTTGTCTGGTGGCCATTGGCGGACACAGTGGACATCCATTGTCGTCGTCGCCATCCATTGTTATACTATTGATGGCAACAAAATCGATGCCATTTATCGGCAACCATTGGACACTTGAGCCGTTGAATGCCCAATCAAATCGATCTTTAGTATGGTTTGTCATTTGGTCGTGAAACCCGATATCATGATTACCGGCGATAACATACAGCTTAGTTGTCTCGGATGGTATCTGTGCTGTTAATATACAGTATTTCTCTCTCTCTTTCTCTCTCGCACTATCTCTCACTATATCTCTCTCTTTCTCTCTCTCTCATTATATATATATATCTCTCTCTCATTATCTCTCTCACATTATCTCTCTCTCTCTCTATCTCTCTCTCTCTCTCTCTCTCTCTCTCTCTCTCTCTCTCTCTCTCTCTCTCTCTCTCTCTCTCTCTCTCTCTCTAACTCTCTCTCTCTCTCACTAACTSTCTATCTCTCACTAACTCTCTCTTTCTCTCATTAACTCTCTCTTTCTCATTATATATATATATATATCTCTATATATCTCTCTCTCTCTCTCTCTCTCTCTCTCACTATATCTCTCTCTCTCTCTCTCACTATATCTATATATATCTCTCTCTCTCTCTCACTATATCTCTCTCTCTCTCACTATATATCTCTCTCTCTCTCTCTCTCTCTCTCTCTCTCTCTCTCTCTCTCTCTATATATATCTCTCTCTCTCTCTCTCTCTCTCTCTCTCTCTCTCTCACTATATATATATATCTCTTTCTTATTTAAATTATTGAATCATATAATTACATGTAAATATTCGATGAAATTTTCTGGTCAATTCATCGAATTGGCTATCAGTGGACGTATAGCCGGTATCGAACAGATCGCCCAAAACGATGACCACTTGGGGCTCGAACCGACTCATAGCGTACCCAAACGTATAGTACATACGCCAGTCATGTAATTGTGTGTCCATTGCTAGCCAACTATCCGTACGGATATGTAGATCCGTAATAAACATGACTTTTGTTGGCAATACTACTTTATCACTACTACTACCGGTAGCACTGGTAGTCTCACTACTACTACTACTACTGTCCTCCATATTATTATTACCAACAGTAGTAATCAATGGCCAATCGCATCGACTTAGATGATAATAGATTAACAATTTGTTGCCATTGATTGTCATCAATAGGATTACTGATACAATGATTAGTATGATTAGTATAATCGTTGATAATTTTAAGCCAATTATTTTTCGGTGAAATCTAATTAACATCACTAATGATTTATAATATATTGAATATATATGATATATGATTGTTAATCAATAAAAATATATATATATATATAATAACTATTAGATATTTCTATTTAAAAAAAACATATTATATGAAATCATTTCACAATTAATATTAGATTAGATATCTATAAACAAAATATAAATATATTTTAAAAATTATATTTAAAAAAATATTTAAATATTTGATTTAAATATTTGATTTAAATAATTATTTTTATGTATATATATATACATGTATATAAATATATTAATTATTTTTTTAACATGATGAGTCAATTTGCCACATAATATAAACTATTAGTATTATAATTATTAATATATTTATATATATATATATATATGTAATAAACTTATCTAGATTATTTAATGATAACATAATAATAAATGAATATATATATATGTTAAATAAATTATAAATATAAGTTAATTAATTGTTTTTAATATTATTAGTATTATTATTGAAAAATTAGTAGAAAACAATAAATATAATAATAATGAAAATCATAATTTATATTTTTTATTTGTATTTTTTGAAAATATATAAAACACTTTTTTTCCAAATCATGATTAACTAATTAATTTGTTAATATTTTTTTAAATATATTTATTTTTTATAAATGTTTAATAATGATTAATAAGAAATATTTATCTATTTACTCTAATTATACAATATTTTAACAATCAATAACTAATAGCAAAAAAATAAAATAAATAACATTATAATGATTTCTAAGCATAAAAAAATAAATATTTAAAAAAAAAGTTATTTGTGTATTATATCTAATTATGAGACAAATAATATTTAGTAAAAATTTATTTAAATATTATTTATAAATAAAGTTATAAACTGTATATATATAATGTGTATATATTAGTAATACATAAATTAGTTTATATTATTTTGTATATATTATTTTGTTATAAAAATAAAATATTTCATAATTAGATATTTAATTTTAAACTTTATATATATAGATATATAAACTTTTATCAATTTTTAACAGGATATGAATTTGATCTTTATATATAAAATAAAAATATATATATACTAAAAATTATATATTTATATATAAATTATTTATTAAAATTTTGTTTTTTGGTTTGCTTAACAAATAATTAAAATTAAACAAAAATCTAAGTAAATTGATATCAAAAAAAAATCAGCAAAAAAATATAATTACTAAATAATATATGAAAACACAGTTTATATAAACAAAAAACATTTTGTTATTACCAAAAATAAACTTAAACTTGTATTTAATGTAAATTTGAATAGATATTGATACCAAACAATAATAATAAAAAAATTTTAATTTAAAAAAATATCTATACATTTAGAGAAATTAAAAAAAAATAAATTATTTTTAGTTTTTATTAGACAACAATTACAATAGAAACCTATAGACAAATATTTTTATAAATATTTATTTAAAAAAAAATTATATACTAATACAACTAATAGATATATAGATAAAATTTATATAAATATTTTTTAATTAATTTATTTTTAAAAATTTTCTATTAATACATACCTTGTTATACTATAGGATTTCATATGTGGTTTTTAGTGTATATTTAACAAAAAAATTAATAATAATAATGTTTTATTGTTGTTGTTATTGTTGAATAATTTATTAAAAATTACTTTTAATCAACAAATATTTTTTTATATATTAATATATATATTAATATTAATATATTAATAATAAATACTATGTTTATGTTATTAATTTTTTTAGTAGATTAAATTGATGATAATTTTGATGATGATTACAATTTATTATTAATATACAATAATAATACTGTATATATATATATATAAATAATAAATTATTAAATATATTTATTATATAATATAACAAAAAAAATATTAAACTAAATTTATTAACTAACTAAAAATAATAATTATTATTTCTAAAACTTATATCATAAAAAAATTATAAAATTATACTATTTGTTTATATTATAATTAATTTAATTTACACACAAATTATTATTATAAAAAAATATCCACACATGTATTATTTAAATTATAAAAAATAACTAATAATAATTATGTATTTTTTTATTGAAAAAAAATTTAAACTATATTTAGTATTATAAATATTTGTGTGACTATGAAAAAAATAAATGATATTTAATTTTATTTTTTTGTTGTTATTGTTATTAATAATAATTTTCTATTGAAAATATTTATAATAATAATAATAATACCAAAAAAATATATTTTTTATTGTAGGTGTCTATACCGGAAAACTATACAAATATTTATATATATATTTGTTATACTAATTTATTTTCATTGTTATTTAATACTATATATATATATATATATATATATATATATATAATGTATATATTAATATAATATAAATTTCTAGAAATTTTTTATATATATATCATTGTTATTATTATTAATATTATTCAATGCTATGGTTGGTTGTTATGATGTGTTTTTTGTAGTATTATATATATGTTTGTAATTGTAATGATTTATCATTTTTTTGTGTTGTTATTATTTGTCTAAAATATATTTTGTAATATATATATATATATATATATATATATATATATATATATATGCGTGTTTTACATCAACTATAAATACAACAATATACTGTATTTAATAACTATTATATCAATATTATATATATACTTGAAAATAAAATGCCTTTATTTGGATAGCATATACCGTACAATATATAATATATATATATAGTATAAATATGTATATATATATATATATATATTGGTTGCTAACCAAATATATAACTAAGAGATATTACTATATTTTTTATATTATTATTATATTGAATTTTACTAATTTTTTTTATAATATTAATTTTTAACATTTTATTTAAAGTATTTTTTTTAAATATCTACTAAAAGCTAATTAGTAATGAAATACGTTTTGAAATATATTTAATAAAATGATAACTATATTTATTATATGGTTGAAATTATTTTATTATTATTATTATTATATTGAATTTTGCTAATTTTTTTTTTATAATATTAATTTTTAGCATTTTATTTAAAGTATTTTCTTTAAATATCTACTAAAAGCTAATTAGTAATGAAATACGTTTTGAAATATGTTTAATAAAATGTTAAATTATATTTATTATTATTGAAATTATTTTATTATTATTATTACTATTAAAGTACAATATTATTATTTTAAATATCTATGCTTAAAATCTAAAAATAATAACTATATTTATTATATGTTTGAAATTATTTTATTATTATTATTATGACTACAGTATTATAGTTATATTAAATAATTATAATAATAATAAAATAATTTCAAATAAAATAAATATAATTAAACATTTCAATAAACATAAGTATTTCATTACTAATTAGTTTTTAGTTAATATTATCAAAAAAAATACTTTAAATAAAATGTTAGAAATTAATATTATATAAAAAAAATTAAGTAAAATTCAAATGTTGTTGAATTTTATTTGTAATTATAATATTAAGACTATTATTATAATACTAAAATAATAAAGTATTGAATATATTAATTCAGATGAAAAAAAATCACAATTAAATAATCATTATCTAGACTTTTAATAATTTTTTTTTTAAATATAAGTTTTAGTAATAAGTTATCTTTATATATCAATAGATATACAGTTATATACTAGTAATTATTTTTTTAATAAAATTTTTAAAAGATTTTTATTTAAATAGTTTTTTTTAATGATATTTAAATCCTACATTTTATTATAATATATTATAGTTACATAAATATTAATAATACTATGATTTTATGCTAAGTATTATTATTTTTATTAATACTATTTTATTAAAAAAGTTTAATAAATAAATAAGTTTTTTTTAATTAACAATTATTTCTTTATTATTTTTTCAATAATTCTTGTAAATCACACAATTAAATATTTTTTTAAATAACAAATAATTTTTTTTAATCTACTTATATAATGTAATCAATAATTGAAAACTACATAATAGTTATTATTATTATCATTATTATTATTATAACAAATAATTTTTAAATATCTAATACACTATTAGTATAATAATAATTTTAATATTATAATTTATAATAACATATTAAGTCATATAATTGGATATAAATTGTGTTTATAAATAAAAGACAAAAAATTTAATATTATATTTATAGATATATATTAATAATAACAATAATTTTAATTATTTTTTTTAAATATATAAGAATAAAATAACAATTTTCAAATAAAATAGTTAACAATAAAATGTTTTAATTATTTTATTAGTTAATTATAATAAGTTTTTTTTGTTTAAAGTTTTTTTTAAATATTTGTTGTTTTAAATATATATTTAATTAATATATTGAATATATATTATATTAAATATATATATATATTAGTATTATAGTGTTATCATCAAATAAAAGTAAATCAAGTTTACTAAATAAAAATCAAATATATTAGATAATAGTTTAAAATTTTAATAATAATAATAATACAAATAAATTATTATTATTTAAATCAAGTTATTATAATAATACTATTTATAAATACTTTTTTTCAAAATAATATATTCATGTTTTATATAACTATTTGTTTTTTTGTTATTTAAATATATATATCATGTATAGTATAGAAACCCCACAAAATATTTTTAGTTAATTTAATTATTCAAGAAAAAAAATTCAATTTTTTGTTAGATATATATATATCTAAAATTTTTGTTGTTTATTATTATTATTATTATTGATTAACCAATGGATAAGCGCACCGGTAGTTTAAGTTTTTTTTGTTTAGACACCCGGGTTAGGCAATAGCGAGTTCATCAGTGAATTAAAATACGGCGTTTGAGTTGGATATGCGTGCGAGTGGTGGTGTCCTATAGGCGAGTGGGACTGTTGTCGGTGCTGATGGTGGTGCGGGTGCTGATAGGGTGAACCGTGTCCCGATGATGATGCAGCACCTGTAGGTTAAACTGTTATATAATATATATAGGGACTAATAATACTAACCGTCCTCTTCCTCGTGCAGCAGCTGATAGGTTGGCGACTGTGTTATATCAACGTTGATCTGGGGTTTCAGTAGGTGAGTGCTGGGGGCTCTCTGGCTGTATATGTTGCTCGTGGACGACTGTGGGGGTACCGATCCGGGTCGTTGGGGTCGACTTTTTGGTGTTGTTTTTAAGAAACGATAGGTCAATAAAGACACTGATATTTTGTTTGGTTTGTTTGTTTGATTTGTATGTATATTCCGCGCCCCGGATATGTGTTTAGTATAGTATATATATAGGTATGTATAGATAGGGAATGGGATCAATAGGTATGGTGGGGTAGGGGATAGGATAGGGATTAGTAATTAATAACATATGCATTAGTAATATGCAAAAATCTACTTATAACAACACTATACAACAAAAATTGTACATGCTTATTTTTTAAACTTATTATTTTTAACTAAGTGACAATTAATTATTATTATTATTTTGAAAGCACCGTATTTTTGATGTTTTTAATATATATATATATATATATATATATATATATATATATATATATATATATATAATTCATGTATTATTTTATTAATGATTTTTAAAAAAAAATTTATTTAAATTTTCCATTAATTTATTGGAAACTTTTTTATTATTATTTATTATTTAAATATAGAAATCATTATTATTATTATTTTAGTTTAATTTTTATACGATTTGTACTATAAATATGATTTATATGATATATATAGTGTACAGTATATTATTAATAATAATAATACTGTACTTATTAAGATTATATGCACACAAAAAATTAAATTAATTTATTATATGAGATAATAATATATTTTTTTTATTTATTTATTTTTGCTAAAATTATATACAATATAATTTTTTTCATACTCTACTAAACTGATGATGATAAAATTAATTAATAAGCTAGTAGAGTTTATTATATATATATACGGTATAAAGTTATTTTATTATACTATATTATATATATATATAGTATTTGTGTATAAAAAAAAAGTGTAAAATATTTTAACACATATTAATACTGTATATTATATGCTAACTATATGTGTCCTAAAAAATCAATGTTTTGGAAGTAATTCAAAAAAATAAATAAAAAATAAATAAATACCAAAAATATATATTTGTTTTTTTTATACTAATTTATTATCACTACTTGTATTGTATTTTTTTGTTATTTTTATGTTATATATATATAGATAATACTGTATATATAAATGATAAAATAGTTGACACTAATTGAATAAATAATATACTGTTTATACAGTATATGTGTTATACTATTCACAAAATAAAATACTAAAACTAAAATCTTTATTTTTTTAATAAAATAATTAAAAATAAGACAATTGATTAAATAATTTTTTAAATAATTTATATATATATTTAATTGAAATACTAGATTATTGATTTTATTTTTTTGCTAATTGGTAAATATACAAATAAAATTATCCTAGGCAACTTATTTAATTTATTTATTTTTTAATTTTAACTTAATTAACTAATCGGCTTTAACCAATTATTAATATGATTATTATTATTTTACTGATAATAAAAAAATAAAATAAAATAAAATAAATAAAAAACAATAATCAGATTTTTAAGATTAGAAGTTAATAATCAAATAATTAGCAATTAATTAATTAATTATAAATATATATTGAAATAGGATTTTCTTATAATATTGATAATCATTATTAATATAATAATAATAATAATAATAATACTGTAATACTATGTGAGTGTGTGTATAGTTAGTTAGATATCTGATATTACAGTATAAGTACTGATATATTATATATTATATTATTGAATATCCTAACCAAATAAAACACACACAAAAACACATAAATAACATATAATTGTACTAAAAATAATAATAATAATAATTCATTAGGAAAATTGTATAGAAAATTAGTCAATTGTTATACCCATAGTATAGAGACAATAATATTGATTAAAAGATAGAGAGAGAGAGAAATAAATAAATAAAGATATATTAATATAACAAACATATAATAATAATAATTAAATGAAACCTAATATTGATATTATTATTATTAGTAGTAGTAATAAACTGTTTTTTTTAATAGATATATATTGATAGTATAGTAGTATCAAACACATTGAAAATATACATATACATGTATATTGACATAAATAATAAATAAATAGTAAATATATGATTGATTAATTTAAATACAGTATATTATATATATATTATATATTGTTTTACTTGATATATATATATATATATATAWAAATTATATATATTTTCTTACATTAGTAGCATCTCATAGATAACATCGCGTATAATATCAGTCAATAATAGACGAAACGACCGATTGTTAAGCATTGGTTGTCTACTATTGATATTATTATTATTATTATTATTATTATTATTATTATTATTATTGGCAAAAATCAAGTCTATTGGAGGACATGAACCGGTATGTCTAGCAGTAGTAGTAGTAGGAGTAGTAGTAGTAGCCGATCGTAAACTACATGATCTATTGGTTAGGTACCTTAAAAATAGGTATGAGCTTAGGTTAACATAGTATATGATGTCTATATTTATTTATTTTTTTTTAATTATCAATAATAACTACTACTAATAAATTAATAGCTGATTACTATTAAACTAAAATAGCATTATTTTATTACTATATTATTATCACTATTATTATTATTATTTAGTTTTTATATGGCTTTCAAAAAAAAACATTTTAATTGTCATTTTGTTTGTTTGTTTTAATCAACAAAATTAATTATATATAATTTAATAATTAAATTAATTAATTAATTAATTAAATTAGTCTTACGGTTGCAAAACATTGGCCACATTATCATTGCTATACATATTCATTGGTGAGTTATACTGGAGGTGTACGACACCGGGATTGTTGTCCTGAACTCTCTGTCCAAACTATATATACAAATATATATATATATATATATATTTTATATTAATTATTATTATTATTATTATTGAATAAAAATGTATTGCAAATTTAATTAAAATTTAATTAACCAACAAAAACAAAATATTTTGCATACTAAACAATACTATTATATTTTTTAAAATAATTATCTAATTTAAAGTTATTGAAGTATTTTTGAAAAAAATAAAAAACAAAATTATATTCAATAATTCATATGTAAAAACTTATGTAAAAAATCAATATATAAGTTATGATATATAATTTTAAATAAATTTAATAAATTTAAAACAAAAAAAAATAGTAAAATAAATAGATTTTTTCCAAAAAATAAATAAATACCTAAATATATACTAAGTTTTACTAACAAATTGCTTAAATAATATTATATAAAATTTAATTACTATTGAATTATTGAATTATTGAATTATTGAATTATTTTTCTAAAAATTTAAAAGCATTTTAATAATAATTATTTTTAATCGAGGGGGTGGGTGGGTAGGGGGACAGTATGACTAACTAATTTTGGATACTATATCTACTCTACCCTATTCATAACCTCCTGGAGTTTCGGTGGATTCGGGTTGACAATCGTACGGGGGACGTCGTGCCATGATGGTCCATCCATCAATCGCATATAGCTCATACCCATTGGCTGATCACGGCGCACCTTGGGCCTGGGCTCAATCAATGGCAGTGTGCGATATGTCTATTAGGTATGGGTGGGTGTAGTGGGTGTCCCCCGAGAGGAACGGTATGTATATATAAAAAATAATGATTTAAACATTTTTTACAAAATATTTTTTACAACATGTGTATAACATTTCAATGTCAATGATTATAAATATCACATAAATATAATATATTTTATTTTATGTTTTTTTTTTTTGATGATAACAATTGTTTTCATTGATTGTTAGGCATTGACTATTGTATAGCTTTAAAAAATAACTGCAATTATTATTATTATTATTTTAATGATTCACACATACACTATGTGATGAAAAAAATTGGTTATAAAACTATTTATATATACTGTATATTATATACTTATTTTGTTTTGTATAACTATGTGAAAAATTATTTTATGTATATTATTATTATTATAATTTAATTTAATTTTCTATACCAATACTAATTAGTTATTTATTTAATTTTAATTAAATTAAACAAAAAAAAATAATTAGAAAAAAATAAAATTGAAAATAACTATTTAGTTATTTAGTTAAAAAAATTAATTAATTAATAATAATTACTAAATTATAAGACAAAAATGTGTTTATGTATGTGTGTATGTATGTGTTTATGTATGTATGTGTATGTATGTATGTATGTATGTATGTGTGTGTATGTATGTATGTATGTGTATGTATGTATGTGTGTGTATGTATGTGTTTATATATGTATGTGTGTATGTATGTGTTTATGTATGTATGTGTGTGTATGTATGTATGTGTATGTATGTATGTATGTGTATGTATGTATGTGTGTGTATGTATGTGTTTATATATGTATGTGTGTATGTATGTGTTTATGTATGTATGTGTGTGTATGTATGTATGTGTATGTATGTATGTATGTGTATGTATGTATGTGTGTGTATGTATGTGTTTATATATGTATGTGTGTATATGTATGTGTTTATGTATTTATATGTGTGTATGTATGTGTGTGTGTTTATGTATGTATGTGTGTGAGTGTGTATATGTCTGAGTATGTGTGTTGGCACAGGTATGTAGACCAGAGGAGACATACCTGTTTAGATATAGCCCACTGTTCTCTAGCTTTTTCTTGTAGAAATTTTTCGCTATTGGAATCGGGTTTTCGTATCGACGATATTTCGTAATAATCATTGTGTCCATAGTTGGGAATATAGCCGCGCGGACCTACCGGACCCGGTCTGTAGGGTGTATGACTGGACGATGGTTCACCAGTTTGATAGGTGGGTGTCATTGAACGCGATGGCGACATTGGCGATGCTATAGATGGGATGGGTGGGAGGTAAATATAAAAAAAAATTAGCATGCTAAATATTTTTTAAAAAGTAAAATACATACTACCAGTGCTGGTACCTCCCGGTGCTGCTCCTGCTGCTCCCGATGGTCGCTGAGCTTGTACGTTCAAAGTATTGCCGGCCGTATTGATGATATCCCTGGCCAGCGAATGGGTCATCGGCGGTGCAGTAGTCGATCGGTCGCCAACATTGACCAGTATATCGCCGGCACGGAGACCGGCATCGCTAGCCGGACTGCCCGATTGCACCTGTAGGTTAGAGATTAGAGGGTTTAGAGGTTAGGTGTCAATTAAATATGATTTTTATTTATATAATATTATTATTATAATAAATAGTATATATTAATAGTAATTGTATTAAATTTAATATATATTGTAATTATAATCTATTTTTAAAAAAAATTATAATTAATGTATTATTAAATATGAAATTTAATTTATTATTTATTAGTTTATATTTATTATAATTAATTTTTTGTTAATTTTAAAAAATTATAAAATTAGTATATTTATTATTATATATGTAAATTAAACAAATAGAAAATAATTAATAATTAATAAAAATAAATATTAAATGCTTAAAAATTTTCATTATTATTATTATTATTGGTATAAATTATTATAGTTATTGTTATTATAAGTTAAACTATTTGACCTAAATTTTAAAAAATTATTTTTTATATGTGTGTGTAGTTTTAGTATTATTATTATTATTATTATTGAATATAATATATTACATGTTAAACAACATGTTTTTATTTGATTATTTTTGTTGGCTTTTTTGTTGTTGTTTTTATTATTAAAGTAAACTATTTCCATGTTATTTGAAAAGTGATTTTTTTCTCCAACTCTACAGTATATATATATCTATCAGTTTTATCCATTTGTTTAATAAATATACAATTTATTTGTGATGTTTTAAAAAAAATCTAAAAATAACAGTCAAAATACAAACTGCTGTAATCATCATCTCTACAGTTATACAGCTCTCTCTCTCTCTCTCTCTCTCTCTCTCTCTCTCTCTATTGGATTCACATCACTTGAACAAAAAAATGTTTGATATATATATATATATATATATTATTTTATTCAATATTATAAAGTAAATGTATGTCTAAATTGATGCTACAAATAATATACTGTATATATATATTAGTTAGAGATATATAGATAGCTTAAAAAACTTTTTCAATCAATAGTATATATAAAATATAGTATAGTATAAGTAAAATAAAATTTTAATTTGAGTTTTAAAAAAAACTTTTAAATAGCAAATATTAGATATATATATATATATATATTATTAGTTTATAAATGTGTTTTTTATGTTAACTAAATTAATAATAAATTTTATTTTTCAAAATAAAAAATAATAATATTTTTTTTATATAAGATTATATCAAACAACAATAATCTTACTTTTAATAATATATATTATATAATCCTAATATATTTTTCAATACAATAAAATACACTATTATTATTATTATCATCATCTGTTATATTATCTATTATTTAATGATAATACTTTTATTATTATTTATATTTTTTAAACTAAGATATGATACTTATAACAACAACAACAATGACAAAAACAATTTATAATCAAACATTTGATATAATAATAATATATATATATATATATATATAATAAAATTATTTATATCGGATTAAAATAATGTCAAACATAAGATTAACGTCATAGATATGTATAGTAATGTATAAGTTATATATATATATATATATTTTAGCTAAAATGTCAAATGGGTTTTGACTTTAAATATATATAATATATATCAAATCACATATAATAGATATATGATATATAAAATGGCTTAATATCTGTTAATAAAAAATACATATAATATTTATAATACTTTAAAATAATAATTTTTCTTTAAAAAAACTATTAAGTAATAGATTTTTTATGTATTATAAGTCATTAATTATATAAAAGTTAATAATAAAAATATTGTAATAAAAATATTGTCATAAAAATAATTTAGTATAAATAAAAAACTTAACTTTTATTTTAAATAGCAATAATGTATTTTAGTTGCAAAAATAATATATTAATTAAAATTAATTATTAAAAAATGATTTTAATATCAATAATGTTTATTTCAAAAAAATAAAATAATAATAATTGATAGAAGAATATTCTGGATTATAATATGTGTTCAAAAAAAACTAAAATATTAAGTTTATTTTGATTTTTGTTTTTTGTGTTATATTTTCGGTTAAAATACTGTTTAAACAAATTTAGAGATTATTATACAAATCTCTTATATATATAAAACTAATAAAATAATTCATTATTTTTGTTTAGTTTTTTTTTGTGGATATTTTCAGCGATCAATCAATTACTGTATAGACATGTAAACCATAAACAACAAAAAAATACATTACTTTACTTTAGGTATTAGTTTTTTATACAACAAAAAAAATACTTTATGTAAACAAACTAAAAAAAATTATATATAATCTATGAATATCTCTAAATAAAAAAACAAAATCAATTATGAAAAATATAATTTTTTACACAAAAAAAACATTATATAATGTTTACTGATATAAAAAATTTACGGAATTTTATTTTTTTTTTAAATTAATTAACAATTAATTTTTTTTTAGATATGTTTACCATTATATATATATAAATATATATTGTTGGGTTAGGTTTGGGTATTTTAGACCCCAAATAGGACAGTAGTATTACTTACACGTTGTATATATAGAGGACAGTGGCCTAAGTCGGCTCCACCGACAAGTGTAAACCCCCAGGGAATACATGAGCCGTCCCTTAATAATGTCGTATTGAATAACATTTTTTAAATTTTATATATATTTATATAAAATATATGCAAAATATTATACATATATTTATATATATATATATTAGTTAAATACAGTATCTATTTTTTGTTGTTGTTGTATATAAACTAATATAAATTCAAACAATTTTGTTGTTGTTGTTATTGATATAAACTTTAATATATATATATATATATAAAATACTTTCACTTAGTATACCAAAAATATTTGTACAAATATATTGGTATTAAAATTTAAAAAAATTTTTTAATTAAAGTTTTATATTATTATTATTATTATTATTTGGCTACAAATTCACACCACAAAAATAAATAAATAAATAAATTTTTTATATGAAAAATATGATTGAATGTAATGTAATATAACTAAACAACAAATTTTTTAACACTAAAAAATCATTGAAACTATTGATTTACACACAAATAAACACACAATCAAATTACATAATAATATTAAACGTTAATTATTATTATTACTATTAGTTAACAACAAATAATTTTTTTTGATAATATATTTTTTGGTTTATGTATAGAAAGAGAGAGAGAAAGAAAGAGAGGTATAGTATATTGCGTTTATGGGCACCAGTAGTAGTAGTAGTAGTGGTAAAAATAATAATAATAATAATAATATAGTATTAATGGCACTGATATCTGGTATTTGTTAGTCAAATATTTTTGATGTATAAATATATCTAATAATAGCTATACATATAATATATATTGTATAGTATATATAGTATAGTAAGTACTAGAAAATGTGTGTAAATGTGTTGTCTTAATAGCAAATTTTTATTTTTATAAAACAAATATATATATATATATATATATATAATGATAATACAGTCAAACATCCAGTTATATATACAGTATATATATATTATTTTCTTTTGTTTCTATAATAATAATAATAATATAATATACACATGTATTAGCAAAAAAAATTGTTTAAAAAGTAATATTAACCTAAAAGTTAGCATAAAATAATTTATATATTTTTTTTGCAGTTAGAAAATTGTATGCAATTTACAAATATATATATATTGTGTTTATGTCATCATTGTATTGAATTCAAGAATATTCTGTATATATATATATGTGAATAAATAAACAAAACGCCAACATTTCAAATAATAATATATATGTTTTATTATATATATATATTATTTATATATATAGGTTATATATATAAATTATTTCACAGTATTTGTATGTTTGTTAAGATTTTAATTTTTATGTTTGTTTATATGTTTATATATGTGTGTGTTATCTATGAATATAAATGTCTAGAATTTTAAATCTATTAGTTTATATATTTTGTTTTGTTTGTATGTGTGTGTATATGTGTGTATATATGTGTTATGTGTGTGTATATGTGTATGTGTGTGTATATGTGTATATATGTGTGTATATATGTGTGTATGTGTGGGTATATATGTGTGTAAAATTGCTTGTATTATGTTTAAACCATATGTTTTTATTTATAGATTACTAAATGTTGATTTATCATGATAATTTTTTTTCCATAATCATCAAAATAAATAATATTTACAATTTTTCAAAAAAAAATCATAATAGATTATAATGTTTATTAATACATATATATATATTTAATCTAAGTTTATATGACTTTATAATTTTTTTTAAATAAAAACATTTACATAATTACAAGCTTATGATTAAAATAAATATTTATATTATTTATTTTTAAAATAAAATTAATATTCTTTTAATAATTTTAAATATCTATATAAATTATTATATGATTTAATTAATTATAATTGAGTATTAAATACAACATTAAAAAAACCATTGATATGATCTCCAGGGGAGGAAAGTTCCCTAAAAAATCCATACAATTTTCATGAAAAATATGGAAAATATTTTATTATCACTAAAGGAAAACATAAATTTTTATATTATTATTATAATAAATATTTTATTTTTTAAAAAAAAACTTAAATATTTTTCTCAAAATATTTAATATTGAAATATTTAAAAATATATTCAATAAATATAATTAGATTACAAATCAATATATATATTATTTTAAAAAATATAGTTAAATATAATATTTGTGTTTTTATAAATATTATAATTAAATATTTTGTTTCAATAGGTTTAATAGATTTTCTTAGAAATTTCCAGGGAATATGAAACGTTAGGGAACTTTTGGATTTAAGACAAAAGGGAGGTAATCTGATCTGACCTCTAGATATGATATTTAAATTTATTTACAGAAAATTTATTGTCTAGTCTTATTAAAATAATAATAATAATAATAATACGATAACCTATCCTTATAACATAAACCTATTTAAAATTGTGTGTATGTATGTGTGTATGTATGTGTATGTGTGTGTATGTGTGTGTATGTGTGTGTATGTGTGTGTATGTGTGTGTATGTGTGTGTATGTGTGTGTATGTGTGTGTATGTGTGTGTATGTGTGTGTATGTGTGTATGTATGTGTGTGTATGTGTGTGTGTGTGTGTGTGTGTGTATGTGTGTGTATGTGTGTGTATGTGTGTGTATGTGTGTGTATGTGTGTGTATGTGTGTGTATGTGTGTGTATGTGTGTGTATGTGTATGTATGTATATATGTGTGTGTCTATGTGTGTGTCTATGTGTGTGTCTATGTGTGTGTCTATGTGTGTGTCTATGTGTGTGTCTATGTGTGTGTCTATGTGTGTGTCTATGTGTGTGTCTATGTGTGTGTCTATGTGTGTGTCTATGTGTGTGTCTATGTGTGTGTCTATGTGTGTGTCTATGTGTGTGTCTATGTGTGTGTCTATGTGTGTGTCTATGTGTGTGTCTATGTGTGTGTCTATGTGTGTGTCTATGTGTGTGTCTATGTGTGTGTCTATGTGTGTGTCTATGTGTGTGTCTATGTGTGTGTCTATGTGTGTGTCTATGTGTGTGTCTATGTGTGTGTCTATGTGTGTGTCTATGTGTGTGTCTATGTGTGTGTCTATGTGTGTGTCTATGTGTATGTATGTGTGTATATGTGTGTGTCTATGTGTGTGTATGTGTGTGTGTATGTGTGTGTGTATGTGTGTGTGTATGTGTGTGTGTATGTGTGTGTGTATGTATGTATGTAAATACATTTACACATATGTATGTGTAAAACTGTGAGTGATTGGATAAACAAAATATTTGTCACATTAAAAAATTTATATATATATATATATATATATATATTGTATTCAAATAGATAGTGTATATGTATATCACACACAAAAAATAAATCTAATTACAGTACATAAAGATTTTTTTTGAAAATTTGCGGACATAAGCAAAATAATATACACTATATATATATATATATATATAAAATCTAGAAAAATATTTGTGACAACATTGAGATTATAATAATAATAATAATAATAGTTAATAATAATCAACCTATAAATAACATCAATAGCTGCTGTTTTATTACACTTATATATACAGTAAGTGTTTCGTATATATATATTATATATGTATAGTATATGTACTGTATATGTAAATTACAATACATTTTATAGTTTTGATGTATATGTAAACTATGTGTTTTAAATACAGTATATATATAGATATACACTTAAAAACAATACTTGACAAACAAAATTTTTATATTATATATTAAAGAAACTTTTCATTGGAAACTTTTGCTATAATAGAAATGTGATTTTATTTTTTTTTAAATTTTATTTTTGCTAAAAAATTTTCATATATATATATGTCTAATCATTATCTAATATATGTCTAACATATATCAATCATAAACATTATAACAAACATTATTACATAGTATTAATATATAAAGTATTTATATATGTTTATCATATATTCATTAGTGAAACAATGATGTCTATTATTAATAGTATTAATATATATATATCTAGAAAAATATTTCAAATATTTTGTTTCAAGTTTTAAAAATAAATTTATAACTTAAATATTTTGAAACTATTATTAATTTTTTTTTTAAATAATTAGTTTAACTTATATGATATTTGTTCATTGACTATATATATATATATTAATATATATATGACAGTATAAATATGTAAACTTATATTAGATATATTTTTATTAGACATATATTATTAAATATATTAATACTTTATATATTAAATTTTTGAGATTTAGTTTGTTAACACATATGGATTATTATTATTATTATTATTATTGATTAATCCTATGGATTATTATTATTATTATTATTGAGTTGCAAATAATACATTATTTATTTGCAAATGCTAGTAGCAAATCAATTGATAAATATTTGCATTAGTCATGTAATAAAATTGCTAAAATTTATTGATATATCGATATAATGCTAGTTATAAAGTATAGTATATATATATATAATATTTCAATTTAGGATTCAATATACAAATACAATATATATATACTATTAAAAATGTCATTGAAATGTGTGTATACGGAATATTCCTGAATATTTATTATACTATTGATATACAGTATATATATATATATATATATAAAATATTATTAAAATCAATTCAATTGACTAAAAAAAACTAATTGAAATAAAAGTTGATTGAAATAAGTAAATAATAAATTAATTGAATTGAAATTTTATTATAAATTTTCATATAAAAATATATAATATAATCTATTTGAATATGTTTACTATAAATGTAAAATATAATTTATTATTTGTAAAATTAAATAAATAATTAAATAGTTATATTTATCTATTTTTTTGTAATCAGTTAAGTTAAAATTTATTATTTGAAATTAAAAACATGTTAATTTATTTATAAAAAAAATTTTGATGATCAAGCTAAATTAAAAAAAAATATATATTTATATAAACTACTGTAGTATTATTCAATAATAAATAAACTATTTATCCACTTAAAAAAACTTATTTCAAATAACCCAGAAATAAAATAAAAATTATTATATATATTTAATTCAAAAAAAAAAATGAGACAAAAATATAATTTTGTATAAAATATTTAAAAATAATTATCTAATAGTCAGCAAAAATAATACTAAATAATAATTATTATTATTAATAGTATATTACGAAAACATTTTGTGCAAATCATATGATAACTTAAAAATATAAAATTTATGTGAAAAATATTATTTATAAAATAAAAATCAATTAAAACATATATATTATATATATGTGTAAAAATAAACAAAAATTTGTTAATTAATTATTATTAGTTTTTTTTTGAGTATTAGTATTGACTTAAATCTTAAAGATATTTATTATTTTTTAAATAAATAAATAATTAAAATTATTTAATTGTTTTTGAGACTAACATTTGGACTCCTGGGCAGTGAACAGGTATCGTATGAATAGCTTATCGGCGACGACGGTGTCCAGGCCTGGGATGTGTTGGCCGTCGACGGCGACCAAATACACGACTGCGGCCTCGGCTTTGACCGATAGCCGGGCGGTGGCCTATAAAATGCCGGTCTCTCAGCGCTCATCGTTGCCATAGATTTAATGTATTTTTTTGTTGTCTATTATATCAATAATTTATTAAAAAAAATAAATATTAGATATCATAATAATTGTTATAATTTAAATTAATTATAATGTTATCGACTATTAGTTTGGATAAAAAATTATATAAATATTTATGGGAAAATAAAATAATTAAATAAATATTACAAAAAACTATAACTATAATTGTAAATTGATTTTTAATTTTTTTTATTATATATATTTATTTAATCTAATTAATTAATTAATATAATTTATTATTGTTTTAATAAATAATTTATTATTGTTTTAATAAATAATTTATTATTGTTTAAAATAATATAAAATAAATATATCTAATAAAAAACAATGTTTATTATAAATAATTAAATTATACATAAAAAAAATTAAAAATTATTATTACTATAAAACAAATCAATTATATCAACAACAACAACAAAATAAATAAATAATACTTACGTTTTTAAAAATTTAAAGTTTTAATTGTCTTTAATGTGTAAACCAAATGAGTCGTACAATTAAATATAAATATAAGTTTATAAAAATCAGCAAAAAAAATAAAAGTTAAAAAGTCAGACAATTATATTGTATTGTAATAATAAAAACACAAACACAGAAAATAATTGAAAATAAATTTTGCTAAATATAAATATCTAATTGTATATAAATTAATAATAATAGTAATAATAAATATCTTACTAAACAACTGTACAGCTCCTGTACTCTACTGTACTGTTTATAACCAAAAAAAACAGTTTTTTATTTTAGTATTTTATTTTTTGGTACAAAACTTTTTGCTGAAAAAAACTTTAAAACTTTTCTTCAATTTTTCTAAAAAACTATTTAAACTCTTTTTTCTCTTCAATAATAAAGCGCTGAATAGTGTGATAATAACAACAACATCAACACAATAAGCAAAACTACTTTTTATTTTAAATTGAGACTAAACAGAGAGAGAGAGAGAGAGAGAGAGAGAGAGAGAGAGAGAGAGAWAGAAAGAGAGAGAGAGAGAGAAAGAAGAGAGAGAGAGAGAGAGAGAGAGAGAGAGAGAGAGAGAGTACTCCCAAATGAAATAGTTTTTAAATTTTTTTTTTGATGAAAGAGAGAGTCAAACAAACTATAATTATAAAAATAAATTCAAACAAATTTTTTTTGTTTAGTTTGTATGGAGACTGTCAGTCAAATATTGAGTTTATATTATAAATATATATATTATATATAAGACTTTATTTATTTTAGTTTTTTAATTATTAATTATTAATAATTAATTTTTATTATACATATTTGTAGTATTTTAAGTTATATAATAAAAAAAATTTTAAAAATATGATATAAATATAATATTATAAGTGACTTATCCTAAATAATTATAAATTTATAAATAGTTAATTATTTATTTATTTTTTGTTTAACTAAAACTAACTTAATAATAGAATAAATAACTATTTTTTAGTATTTAATTGTTTGTAATTTAATTACAATGATTATAATCTATTTGTTTTGTGTTTATAAGTTTAATTTTTTTTATTAATTACAACATTTTAAATAATTTAAATTTTTGTTGTCTATTTATATATATATATATATAGTTATTATGTAATTTGATTTCTCAAATAAATAAGATTTTTTTATTTAAATATAATTTTATTTTAAGTAAAATTTCTATTTAATAATAGTAATGATGGTAATAACAATGTTTAAATTTTAAAAATTGTTTTTATTTAACTTAAAATGTTATTTTTTAATGTATATGCCACTTAACATACACATACATACACACACATATACACACATATACACACATATATACACACACATACATACACATATACACATATACACACACATATACACACATATATACACACATATAAACATACACTTACATTAAATATATGCTGTAAATGCAAATGTTTGTAACAATTTTTTTTATATTTTTAAATATGTGTTTTTACATACAAACCTATTTGTAAATCAATACTGTTTGTGTGAAAAACAATTTTATAAAAATTTTATTTTACATTACACTGTAGTTTATTATATTTATGATGATATTATTAGTGTCATATAAACTATATATCACATAAAGTACTGTATTATATATGTATATACTGTATATATATGTAACCCAAAACAGTTAGAGATTATCAGTATATAGTATATACTGTATTATATAATACAAAGACATTGATTGTTAAATTAAATAAAAATAAATTTAGTTTGTTTTAAAATATCTATAACTGATTCAATAGTTTGAATCATTATTTTTGATAATTATTTTTAACCACAAATTCTTGAATAAAGAGAGAGAGAGAGAGAGAGAGAGAGAGAGAGAGAGAGAGAGAGAGAGATTGAAACTATGTGTCGATTACTTAATAAGATAACAATTGTTTGTTTGGTTTATTTAAATATATATGTTTTGGTTAACAATCAAAAGTTTAGTCAAACATATTATTGACATAGTTTTCAATTTGAAAATACTTTTATATATATATATATATAAATTTTGATATACATTTATAATACAATTATATTGTACTATTGTATATGATATATATATGATATATAATTCAAGTACATTTGGCAATCATATTATTGTTAGTTTAGAAAAGTATTGTTACATTGAATTTAATATACATTTGTTGTATTGTTTTTATATTTTTTTAAAAAAAAATCCCAAATTGAAAACTATAGTAGTTTTCAATATGTGATTTTTTTTTATTATGTGATTTTGAATAGATATATTGATTTGTAAAAAACATATATAACTTTATTTATATATTTTTATTTTATTTGATTATTGAAGTTTTACATGTATTATAATTAGATTATATAGGGGATCAATATAAATGTCAACAATATATATATATATAACAATATTATTTGTTTAAATCTAAAAAACAATTGCCTAATATAATACATAATATACTGTATATATATATATATATCAAAATTATATTTCAAATATAATATATATATATATCACTCAAATAAAAGACATTGATTTTCATAGTTATCACTAAAAAAATTTTTGGATAAAACAAAAATTTTCGCACAAATTAAATGTATAGAAAATTTAATTAAAATTTCAACAATTTTTTTCTATATAAATATATATAATATTTGATACTTTAATTTATTTTAACACAAAAAATATTTTTATTTTAGGGTAAAAAATGTTATGTATTAGTCATAAATTAATTAAAAATATTTTGTTGTTAAAGTTTATTATATTATATTATATTACAGTATCGATTGATTTAAAATTAAATTTTACTTATTTTTTTAAAAAAATACAGTATTACTAAAAAAACTGTAATTTATTTTTATTTTATTTTTTGAAATGTTTAACAAAATATATAAATATTTATTTAGGTTTTATTTTTCATTAATTGTTTTACTAAATAATTGATTAATTAAAACCAAAAATATATTTGCAAAATATTACATTATTATTATTTAGATATAGTTTTTATTTATTTAAATTAAAAACTATTTTAAAAATAATAAATAAATTTTAAAATAAAATACTTTCAAAATGTGTTGTTAGATGTCTCAGTAATATTCATAACATTATTATATTGATTGCATAACTATTGCCAACATTTTATAATAAATAATAAAAATAATTATAATAAACATAAAAATTTTAAAATACAAAAAAAAGTTTAACTAAAATCTGCATAATTTAAAAAAAAAATGAAAAATACAATAAATATTATTTTATATATATGTTTACATTATCTGTAATTTGCATTTTTTTAAATAATGGTATATTTATTTATATATATTTTTAATAAAATAATTTAAATATTATTATTATTGCACAATTATAGTTAAAATTATATATATATAATATAAAATATATTTATATATTACATGATTTTTATATATATATATAAATATTTATAGCATTATTTGTATTACTAAATATAGATAATATCATTTTTTTAGAAATAATTTATTTAAAAAATTATTATATTATATGCAATAAATAACAAACAAACAATAAAAATAAAATAAAATATTATTTTAAACTAAAATAGTGATATTCATGTATAACAAAAAACAAACAAACAAAAAATAATTTTATTACAAATCATATTTTTGGCTTAAAATTATTTATTTAAAAATATATATATTACATATACATTTGGAAATAAATTTAAATATATATTTAGTTAATTATAAAAATAGTTTTAATTATAATAATTTTTGTAAGATTTATATATATATTTATAAATATACTTAAGTTAAAAGTATATGTGTTTCGCGCATAACATTAATTAAGTTAACATCAAAAAAAAATTAATTGAAATAAAATTTTTTAAGGACACACACATACATACACATCAATTGTGTGTCATTTTTTATATATACTAAAATAAAAATAATTAAAATAATTATTTTTATTTTATTTTATAACAGAATATTCTTCTATATTATAATAAATATTATAATTTAATATATATTTTAATAATCTAATTGTGTCCTAAAAAATGTCTATAAATGCAAAATAATGAATAAATAAATACTAATAATTAATTCAAAGTCAACTGTTTTTATGTAATTAATTATTTTTTAAAAAAATTATTTTTATAGTTAACTCTACAGTTTATTTCGGAAAATAAAATTTTTTATAAATAAATATTTTTTTCAGCAAAAAATTAGCTAACTATGAAATCTATGCTAAATTTTGTTAAAAGTGTTTTTGGCGTCAATAATAATAATAATAATAATAATAATAATAACACTAAAATTAACGTTGATGAAATAAATATTAGTAGTAATAATAATAATATTGATGACGATATAAATGATAAAATTTATAATGATGATGATTATTATTTTAAAAATTATAATAATGATGATATAAATTATAAAAGCTATCAATTAGATATGACATCCATTGATGATATATATAGTGATGTTAAAGAGACCCAGGTAAGTTTATAATTATACTAATTATATATATATATATATATTTAAAAAATAATAAAAATAAAAACAATTATCTGATATTTATTATTATTATAATTATTATAAATTTATAAAATATAATAAAAACAATTATCTAATTATTTAATTATTATTATTATATATATATTAATGATTTAGTAGTAATTATTAAATTTTTAATCATTATTACTATATAATTAAAAACTATAATTATTAATTAGACATAATTTTATTTTTAAATTATAGTTTTTAATTATTAGCATTTTAAATATCATATATAATAATCAAATGTTTTAATTAGTAAATAAAATTAACATTGTATTCACAAAAAAAAAATATTTTTTCATTAATTATTAATATTATTATGAGTGGGTGTGTGTGTGTGTTTGATTGTATTTTATCTAAATAATAAATAATAAAATTTTTCATATAAATTATATAAAATAAATAAAAATATAAATTTCTAAACTATTGTAAATATTAAGCGAAAAATCACAAAATTTTTTCATTTTATTAGCATTTAATTTAATATAATTATATTAATATATATATATATTATTAACTACTGTCTTAAACACCCAATAGTCTAACTAAACATAACTACTAAAGTCTATAAATATTTATTTTTAAATTTTAATTTTGAAGTTTTTGAAAATCTTTTAAAATCAGGTTAGGGTTTGCTTACATTGACCTCAATTTTTTGAAATAAATTACAAGTTTTTATAAATATGTTATACTGTATTAAACCGTCTATTTTACTATACTAATAATATTCAATAGACAAATAAAATTAAAATAAAATTAAAAATTATCTAGTATGAAATAATATTTATTTTATTTTTAATTATTGATAATAATATATTTAAAAATATTTTGTATTTATTTATTTCATATAATGGTATTTAAAAAATTTGCAATAAAATTATTTTTATATATATATATACAGAATATTCATGAAAAATGTGTTTATGTAATGTTCAACAACAACAAAAAATTTGTTGCATTGAAAGAGAGAGAGAGAGAGAGAGAGAGAGAGAGAGACATTGAGATTATATTTATTTAGTATACTATGGGCTGAGTTTAGGGTATGGGTGTCATCATCATCATCGCCCTGACTGTGTTGTGTTGATGTGATGACTATATGTACAGTATTTTAATTGGGAAAACAGTTAGTTTAGATATGTGTAGGAGTCCTAACATTTCATGTATGTATGTGTATGTGTGTGTGTGTGTGTGTGTGTGTGTGTATGTGTGTGTGTGTGTGTGTGTGTGTGTGTGTGTGTGTGTGTGTGTGTGTGTGTGTGTGTGTGTGTTAGGTCTATAAATATCTGGTACTGGTTTTGTGCCAATAATTTTTGTAGTTTTTGTTGTGTTGTGTGTGTTGACTATAATCCAAGTTATGGAGAGAGAGAGACATATACAGTATATTCAAGGAGATGTATATATATATATATATATACTGTATATATATATATATATACTGTATATATATAGGGATTATATTAATATACAAAAAACATATACAGAAACAGCTGTACTGTACTGTTATATCCAACAACAAAAAAACTAAAAAATTTCGCAAACAATCACCCGATTATACACTTCAAGAGAGAGAGAGAGAGAGAGAGAGAGAGAGAGAGAGAGAGAGATCCAAACCGCTGACTATTTTTTGTAGAAAATAAATAGGATTTTACTGTAGTTTTTATGTACTTTTTTTAAAAAAATAAAACAAATTTATTACAATCATTATCATTATTATTATTATGTATTATTTGCAATAAACAGTTGATATATGTATGTATGTATGTATGTATGTGTGTGTGTGTGTGTATGTATGTATGTATGTGTGTGTGTGTGTGTATGTATGTATGTATGTATGTGTGTGTGTGTGTGTGTGTGTGTTTGAGAGAGAGAGAGAAAGAAAGAGAGACATTGCACTATCTATTCTATGGCTCCTTTAAAAAACATTTATATAAAAATCTATTTATAAATATAATAGATATATATATATTTAAATATATAATTTTTATCTAACTGTCTCTCTCTACTACTACTACTACTACTACAGTATCATCTCATTGTGTGTGTGTGTGTGTGTGTGTGTGTGTGTACTGTATGTATGGGTCGGTCGTCACTATTGAAATGGGCTGTCAGTATAGATAGAGAGAGAGAGAGTAGTTGTATAATAAAGTGTTGGCCCAACCGATAGTCGTCTAAACAAACAAAAAAAGAGATTAACATCTCATCTCTCAGTTATTTCTCTTAATTATTATTAATTTAATACTCATTTAAAAAAAACTTATTTAGGTTTTCATAAAAGATATTATATTCAACCCCTTTAATTATAGTGTATTTAATTAAGATATATATATATATATATTTATATTAAAAAAAAAAGTTTATTACCGTTATTATTGTTTATATAATTATTATTATTATTTAGTTTTTATTTATGGGCCAAAAACATTAGGATGTTTTTTGTTTAAAAATAATTTTTTTATTTCAAAAAAAAGTTATTTCTTTAAAACTAAAAATATATTTTTCATTTATGAGTGATTTCATGTAAATAATAAATAGTTTTAACTACTATTACTAGTGAGTCTATTAAAAAAACAATTGAAATTATTTTTGGTAGTGATATATAAAAAAAAATTAAATGTTTTTATTATTTTTAAAGTAATGTTTACGTAAATCAACGTATTTTAATAACATATACACACATAAACATACATAAAGAAGTTTTATATAAACTATTAAATCATATATAATATATATATATATATATATTCAGTTAGTAATTACTTATTTGTTTCACAAGTAATAGTAAATATATATATATTTATATAAAAGTCGATACTATTATTATTATTATTTAAGTTAAAAAATATTTTCTGTATAAATAACGTTTTATTTAAAATTAAATTTCCGAAAACAAATTAAACTTATTTACAACAAAAAATTTTTTTTATATATATATTGAAAAAACCTACACAAATATATATACATATATAATAAATACATAATAACAACAACACCAACAAAAAAGCCGTCAAAATTATATTCATAATACAGTTTGGTTTGTTTGTGTTTGCCTTCACTTATTTTTGCTGGTGTTTTGTCAAGAAAGTCACCGATCGACTGTTCCTGAATGGTATGGACACTACTGGCCCATTGTTATCATCACCAGCACCGGGATCGGCACCGGGACCGATACCGATAGGTATGTTCAATGATATTAGACTTTACCCCCCACCCCTATTCCCCCCCATACACCCGGCATATAAATTTTTAAATTATTAATAATTATAACTATACTAAATATATGTTTAAGTTAACTACTAATCCCATAATAGGATTAGTAGTCTATTATTGAGATATAAAATAAAACTTACTATTAGTATGTGTTTATATAACTTTTTATTTGATATATAAGTTTATTATTATTATTATTATTATTATTATTATTATTATATAACTAATTTAAACTCTTATAATCGTTTAAATAAATAAATACATAAATATATTTAGTAATAATAATAATAATAAGATTTTTAAATTTTTAAATTGTATATACAGTAAAATATTTATAGATATATATTATTTAATTTTTTTTTTGTTAAAATTGTTTGACATTTATTATTAAAGTTTTTTTTCTTTAAACATAATTTTATTTATTTAGTCTATGATTTTTTTTTGTGTTAATAATTAGTATTAAATAGTAATGTCATAAATATAATAATATAAATATAATAGTAAAGCAATTTAAATGATAAGATTTATTATTTAGTATTATTATCAATGATTTTTTTTTGTTAAAAAAAATATTAAGTGTGTATTTCAAATGTTAAATAAATAAATAAATATGATTTTATTTATAGTTTTAAAAATAATTTATGTTTATATGATTTACATTATCTAATTGTATAATATATTATTATAATTACTATTAGTATTATTATAACCTTCATCTCATATATATATATATATATATATATATATTATTTGTTTATTTAATCTATAGATATATTGATTTTATAAAAAATTATTATTATTAGTATTTAAATTTTAATTAAAATTAGTTCAATTAGTATTAAAAAAACAACAAAAAATAGCATAAAAATCAACATTTTATTTCATAATATATAAAATAATTTTTTTTGAAATGTATTTTTGGTGCCAAATAAATGATCGACACTTTTGTTCAAAAACATAAGTTAACCCTTTTTTGTGATGTTATTTGCTTTCAAATATATATATTTAAATTTTTTTTTTAAAAAGTGTTTATATAATGACTATTATTGCCAGAAAATTATTTATACAGTATTTGTTTAGCCAATAGTACAGTATATTTAGGTTTTTTTTTAAAAAAATAATAATTTTGACAATTAGTTTGCAAAATAATTTGATCTAAATTTTATTATTATTATTATGAAAACTATTTTCAATAAAATAAATATAATAAATTTAGAAATATTTTTTCAGTTAATAAATATACTGTAAATTAAATATTATTAAACTTTTTATATAGTTTTATAAAGTTTTTTTTATATAGATATTTAAGTCAATAGATTATTATATAATTTGTTATTTTTGTGTAGAAAAACACATTAACTTAATATATATATATATATATATATATTTTTGAAAAAAGTGTTAAAAACTCCTACAACATAGATATTTCTAGTTATTTTCAAAAAATGTAAATAAATACACACAAAAAAAATTGAAATAAAATAAAAAGTCAGCAAAAATGAGGCACAAGTTTAACAAAATTTTTGGGGCCAAAGAATATTCAGAATATTAGGTCTCTCTCTCTCTCTATCTTTAAATAAATGTTTAAATAAAATGTGTGTTTATTTTTAGCTACAATTATATATATATATATATATATATACAGAATATTCTGCACATAATCACTAACTATTTAGATATTTATCTATCAATCTATCTATACATTCATACATTTAGACAAACAAACAGTTATATTATTATTATTATTATTATTAATATTATTATATATAATATTTTTTTCAGGTTTTAGTTAGTTAGTTGTGATATTAATATAGATATGAGTTTCTCTAAAAATTTGATTTTAAAAAAAAATATTTTTTTAGTATAATCATCAAAAATTATAATATAATAAATTATTGTAAAATATATATATATATATATATATATATATATATATATAATTTAGCTGATTAGACAAAATAAAAGTAAATAATTTTGTTTTATTTTTATTATCATTATTATAATTATAAATTTAATTGAGTGACAAAATTATTATTATTATTATTAAATAATTAGTGTTCAAATTATTCATTTAAAAAATAAAAACAATAAAATTTTATTGTTTAATAATTATCTAATTAATTATATTAATAATAATAAAACATTTGTTAATTTTTTTTGGATTATGTTTTTTTTTCAATCTATTTATAAAATTAATAATTATTATTATTTTATTATTACAATTATAATTAAAAACAAGTGTTTACTAAATATACATTTAAAAAAACTTATTAATTAATTAATTAATTAATTATTATTATTATTTGATTAAATACAGTGTCCCTATCAGCGGCACTACCGCCACCACCGCCAGTGCCGCCACCGCCGCCCGGATGTCACGGTAGTGTACAGTTGCCTCATTGGCGATCGGAGCCATTGCCGGCCCATTTGGCCACCAGTAGTAAGGAGCAGATTGAACGGGATCAGTATGAGCACCTGCCCGATAAATTGTTGAACACCATGAATAAGGATAAAAAACCGTTTACCTATACGCCCAGTGGAGTGTCCGGGTATTGTATATATATATATTAATATACTAGTATTTATTATATATATGTGTACTGTAGTAGTAGTAGTAGTGGTGGTAGTGGTAGTAGTAGTAGTAGTAGTAGTAGTAGTAGTAGTAGTAGTAGTAGTGATCACCTGATTAAAAAAGGTATGGTTAGGTTAGGGAGTGTGTGTGTGTGGATGGGGTTAGGTTTGCTGTTTAATAGATAGTTAGATAGATAGATGGATAGGGATCTAAATTATTTTGTTTGGTTTTTTAATTATACGGTTATTATTATATTGTTTTTGTTTTTTTGTTGTAAAAAATTAGGACCGAAAAAGGAAAGTTAGACTTAAGCAGTATTAGGTCGCCAAAGATGAAGAAGCGATTGCTGGCAAATCTGGCCGACGATGAGGAGGAAGGGGAGGCGGAGGAAGAGGACGGATCGGATGCAATGTCCGATAATAATACTAATAATAACTACTCGGAAAGAGTTAGCCGATCGGTGACACCGGATGTCCTAAAGTCCAAACAACAGCGGCAACAGTTGAAGGCAACACAACAATATGATACCAACAATAACTATCACCACCACCACCAACAACAACAACGATCACTGACACCTGATATACCGTCATCGATAAGAGGCCAAACCAATGGCCACCAATCGATGACAAACGGTGGACATCCGGCCGCAGATTTTCCCGAAATGCAACGTCAGTTGAACAAAGATTTTGATGCCTACATCCAGAAGCAGATGAAAGAAATTGAGACATCGATGATGAAAACCAAAGAAGGAAACACTAATAATAACGTTATGGATGTCAATGGTCTGGAACCGGAAGTACAGGAGCTGTTGGATAGCTATGGTAGTGGTAGTAGTCGTCGACAAAATCAGATACCGATTCCCACCACAGAGGCTACCGAACCCCGACAATTGGACATAAATAGTAGTAATAATAATTATAATATTTATAGGGGTATTACTACTAGTAATGGATTTGGTGTCGGCGCCGACAATAATACTACCAGTGCTGGTCATAATCCCAGACCAGTGACTGTTGAACATTACAATACATCCAATACTACTACTAATAATAATAGTTATAATAAATTAAATAATAATAATAATAATAATTACTATGAAAATGATAGACAACGAGGAGATAATGGAAATAATGGTATTATTATTACTACTAATAATAAAAATAAATTAAATAATATTAATACTGATAGTAGTTATTATAACATCAATACCAGTAGTAATAGATTTGATTGCCATAACAATAGTAATAGTAATAATAGTCACCAAAATAATAATAATAATAATAATACAAATAAAATTAATGATAAAAATAATATTTGGGATTCAGAGCTACTCAAGCATGTACTGGACGGTGGCCTACAAGGTATGTCCACTTTTATATACAGTATACCCAAATGATAACTGTTTTTTTAATATACCAATCCTTTATTATAGAGGAAATTGAAAAGTTTGAACAAATATCACTGGAAACACAAAAATCGTTTTCATCAACAAATCCGTCGGTATATTCACCGCTGTTGAGGCCGACTACTAACCAGCCGTCGGCGGCTGTTTGGAGTCCGTACGCCTCATCAGCCAGTAGTCATCATCGGTCATCAGCCGATGCTGATGACGACGACAACACCGATGGCTATACAACAATCACATCGACGTCGACGGCGACGACAATGAGGACAACTAATCGATCGCAAAATCCAAGTCATGGCCAACGACAACAGCAGCAGCCGTACGGCTCGCTGGACAGAAACGGCGGCTTTCGTAGTCCACAGCCATATCATACTAGTAGTTCGCAGGACAACTATTGGTCGACTGGTGACAACAACAATAGTCCCGGTGCTGCTGCAGTTGGTGGTGGTGGTGGTCGACCGCAACGGACAGGCGGCTACAGGTCGGCATCGGTTGAGCCAACATATCGGAGACCGGGTGGCGGTGTTGGAGGAGTCGACATTCCATTCAATAGGAACCGGACTATCTATGATGGTATGTGTGTGTGTGTGTGTGTGTGTGTGTGTGTGTGTGTGTGTATGTATGTGTGTGTATGTGTGTGTGTGTGTGTGTATGTGTGTGTATGTGTGTGTATGTGTGTGTATGTGTGTGTATGTGTGTGTATGTGTGTGTATGTGTGTGTATGTGTGTGTATGTGTGTGTATGTTTGTGTGTATGTATTATATTTGTGTAAGTGAGTGTGTATGTGTGTAAGTGTGTATGTGTTTTTGTACATGTATGTGTATGTATGTATGTATGTATGTTTGTGTATGTGTGTGTGTTTATGTATGTATGTGTGTATGTATGTGTGTGTATGTGTATATATATATCCAATGATGTGATATATAATCAATAAACTTGTATATATAATATATAAAATAATAATACTTTATTTTGTTTGAAACAAAAATCTATAACTACAGTTCCCAACTACAATGCCCGACCCAAACCGTTTTATCTGTGCTCACCGCCGCCAACACCGATAGCCTCACCGCCGCCACCACCGCCTCCTAAACAGTTTATGTCGTCGTCATCGGGGTCGCCATCGCCTCAAAATGATAATCAACAACAACAACAACAATTGTTTACAACATTTGGCAAAAATGTTTGGCAACAAAAAATCAATTATAACAATAATGATGATTACTATAATCAAGGTTAGTTTTAAATATTATTATAGTTAATAACATAATAATAATAATAGTAGTTAATAAAATAATAATAATAATTAATAAAATTATAATAATAATAGTTAATAAAATAATAATAATAATAATTAATAAAATTATAATAATAATAGTTAATAAAATAATATTAAAATAATAGTTATTAACATAATAATAATAATAGTTAATAAAATAATAATAATAATAGTCAATAAAATAATAATAATAATAATAATAAAAATTAATTTTAAAATTCTATATAAAATAATTTTATTTGTTTATATTATTTGTTATAATTTTCGCTATCTATTAATAAGATATCATATAATATATATATATATATAGTATATATCACATTTGAAATATATATATATATATAATATACTGTATATATTTATATATATCTAATAGCAAACGATACACAAACTGCACCGAAAACCCAATACATGGACGGTATGTACTCACAGATAACCCCACCGTCACAGACTGCCGGTGCTGGTGATGAACTATCGGCAGCGGCGGCACCGGTACACCAGAAACCGGTCGACCGTAGCATAACATTTGCCGACCGTATAGTAACATCACCGGAACGATCGTCAGCTATCAAGTCACCCGAACCACCGAAACCGATATTGAAGAAAAAATTGCCGCCCAGTCAGCGCCCGCCCGAGCCTACACCGTCAAAGTTTATGGGCTCAGGTATACCCAGCCGATCATTTAGGGTACTCCAGCTGATGACCGGTGAAGATATTGATAACGAGTATATTAAAGACAATGATGATACCTATGAAATCAAATATAGGCTAAAAACAGGTAGCACTGGTGGCACCGGTAGTAGTAGTGGTAGTAGTGGTAATAGTGGAGGTACAGGTGCTACTGGTTATGATAGTTGCAAACAATCTAATACTACTAAAACATCGTCAGGTTATTCAAACTATGAGGACTTTGGGACTGATTTTTAAAATCTAATTATTATTATTATAATTATTATAATTATAATTATTTTATTTTTCTTTGATTTATATATTTGATTAACATTTGAATTATATATATAATAATTAAATATTTTTTTTTTGAATTTTAATTTATAAATATACTATTTTCCCGATTTGGATTTATATATATATATATACAGTATATATACGATATATAAATATATTGTTAAATATGTTTTATTGAACAGAGAAAAAAACTTTTAATTTAATTATTTAAAACTTATTGTTTGGTTTTTTTGTTGAAATACTCTCTAATATTTTTAATTGTTATTATTATTATCATTATTAATGATTATTGATTATTGACTACAATTATAATTACAATTATTACAGTATTATTGTTTTATCGTTTAATGTTATGTTTAATTATTACTATTATTATTTTTTTGAATGAAATTATTAGATGAAAATTGCTTATTATTATTATTATTTTGTTAATTTATATATAATATATTTAAGTATTATTTATATATATATAATAATTAATTTAATTTCTAATTAATTTCTAATTCAAATAATTATATAAACAGCTCAACAATTTAGTAATTAATATCTATATATATATATATACCTTTAAAACTGTTTTAAATATATTTATATTATAATATATTTTAATATATTAATTGATTTAATAATTTAATTTGTCAACTAAATTATTGTAATCATATTTATTGTAATTAATGTTATTATTATTATTATTATTATTACTGGAAATATTATTTGGACTAAATAATAATATAATAAATTTGAAATGTATAAAAAAATTATTGGACTAATTCAATATATTAATTTATTAATTAGTTTATATTATTTATCTAAACCAATTTTAATTATATTTAACAATTTTTTTTTAAATATATATATTATATATGTATATGTATGTAATATATATATATATCACATAAATTTAATTAATTTTTAATAGTAATTTGTAATTTGAGTTAATAAAAAAAACATAGGCATCGACATCCCATATACAGTATATATACTATTACTGTATATATAAAAAAATAATTAATTTTTATTTAGAAAAAACAAACAAATAAACAAAAAAAATATGAAATTTTTATCTAATAATTCATTGACTATCATCTCATTGACAATAATTATATTGATTATTATGACACGCGTTACGTGCGATAGTGAGGGTAGTAGTGATAGTAGTAGTAGTGAAAGTAGTAGTGATAGTAGTAGTGATAGTAGTAGTGATAGTAGTAGTGATAGTAGTAGTGATAGTAGTAGTGATAGTAGTAGTGAAAGTAGTAGTGAAAGTAGTAGTGAAACTAATAGTGAAAGTAGTAGTGAAACTAATAGTGAAAATAGTAGTGAAACTAATAGTGAAAATAGTAGTGAAACTAATAGTGAAAGTAGTAGTGAAACTAATAGTGAAAGTAGTAGTGAAACTAATAGTGAAAATAGTAGTGAAAATAGTAGTAAAACTAGTAGTGATAGTAGTAGTGATAGTAGTATTGAAAATAGTAGTAAAAGTAGTAGTGATAGTGAAAGTACTACTACTACTACTACTACTACTACTACTAATAATAATAATAATAACGATAATAAAGACACTAAAGATGACAACAAACAGGTGGACGACGACAGCAAATATCCAATGGATTGTAAGATAAATTAGAAATAATATCTAAAATTGATGTTTGATTTTAATTATCTCTCTCTCTCTTTCCCACTCACTCACTCACTCACTCACTCACTCACTCACTCACTCACCCACTCACTATAACTATCTACCTGTCCATCATTGTGTTGTTCAATCCAAACCACCTAAAAAAAAACAGTACTATTCGGTGAAGACCTATATCCAGAGCAACACCCCATCACCTACTATGACAAGTATGACCTGTCGTCGGCTGTCCGCGAATCGGCCGAAGTGGTCACACCTCCCGGCGGTGACTATGACTTTAATGCAATAATTAAGAAAATCATTTTTGATCCCAACTTTCGTCTCAAAACTAATAATAATAATAATAATAATAATAATCAATACTTTAAATAATATTAATATTAATTAAAATAATTTCTGATATAAATATCAATAGTTTTATTTGTATATAATTTTTGTTTTGAACAATTGAATTGTTAGTAGTAATAAAATATTTTTTTAAACAATATATGTAATTAAATAATTATTTATAAATATTTTTGTGTCTGTGTTTTTTTTTATAAGTTATATATTTATATTTATATTAAGTATACTATAGTAATACAGTATAAAAGTATATTATATATTAGTTTTATTATCAAACAGTTAAATAAATTTGTTTTTTTAAAGTTTAAACAATATGCTGTAAATTTCCATAAACTTAAGTAAATGTATATATATATATATATATATATATATATATATATATATATATATATATGTGTGTGTGTGTGTGTGTGTGTGTGTGTGTGTGTGTGTTTGTGTGTGTGTGTGTTATCATTAATTTACTAATTTATTATTTTAAAAAAAATTATCAACCATACGGTTGAATATACTGTATATATATATTATGAAAATAGTGTTAAACATATAAACGATACACTCATATAAGTGTATAACATATAAAAAAAATTTTATGTTATTATTATTATTATATAAGATATATATTTTTTAACAACTCTAAGAATTAGATAATAATAATAATAATTATTATTATTATTATATTTTATCAATTAGTTTATTAAGTTATTAAATTATTATTGATGTTTAGATATATTAATACTTACACTAAAAAAATATGTGTAATAATAATAATAATCACAATTATAATAATAATAATAATAAGCCAATCATAATATGGCTAAAACTAGTTTATTGTATTATTATAAGCTATACTATATGTCGTCCTCAACTAGTTGTTTGTCAATCAACCGATACTACCGGTGCCGACGCCGACCCTGATGTCGACGCCACCACTATCTATGTGGACGACACCACCGATACCATCCTAACCATTACTACCGATACCGTTCAAGTCATCACTGATGGTGACCACTATAGGCAAAAAGTACGCGACATCAACGATGAAGAGGACAAGGAGGTGACACCTCCATCGCCATCACCAGTGATGGTCAAACCTAACAACAACACCGGTATCACTAATTATGCCTCTATTGGTGTCAACGATATCGATGGTAATAATAAGTATATTGATTTAAAAGACACCGAAATGCAAGTAAATAATTAATTTATTTTTATTATTAAAATATTTTATTATATACAGTATATATTGTATATATATATTGTATATATTTAGTTGAATTATTATAATGATTTAAAAAAATTTTTTTTTTATATATATATAAAATAGTTTGTTTGCAAGTTTATTGCACTTTACTTTTATTATTAATTATAATAATAGTATCTATAAATTATTATTATTTTTATTTTTATAAATTATAAAAATTTCATTAAAAATTATTATCGATGATTAATATTAAAATTAAAAAAAAGTTATTGGTTATTATGATACAAATTATTAATATATATTTTATATATACTATATATATTTATCTAAAAAATATTTTCCAATAATCAATTTATTTACTCAATTACTAGTTAGTCAAAAAATAAATTTTAAATTATTTACATAATAATTATTATTATTATTTAAACTAAATTAATTCAATATTACAGATAAAACAGATAAACTCAACGTATAGTATGTATTCACCGAAACTAATCCATGATCTCAATGAATATGATATAATAAAAGTATAATTAATTAATTTTTTTATTTTCTGTATTATTAATTAATTAATTAATTAATTATCATTTTACATATATGTATATACAGTCGCATCAGTTAATAGATAACAATCAAACTGATGATAATCATAAATACAATGCTAGCGGTAAGTCCCTATTACCGGGCGATAAGGGCAGAGACACGGGGCTATTGGCCAAAGTTATAGGTATTGTCAATATATATATATATATATATATATTTAAAAATAATAATAATAATTATATATAATTATTATTTATAGATAAAAGTAATGAATAAAATTGTTAAACAAATTTCTCTAAAAAGTTAATTAACTATTATTTTATTTTATTTATTTAGCTAAAAAAAATAATCATAAAGTTTTTAATTTTTACAGTATATAACAATATATACATAATTATAGTAATTTATTTTAAAAAAAAAATTATTTTAACAAATTTATCAATTTTTTGTTAGTTTAAAAAATTTTTATTATAGTTTGTTTGTTAATAGAAAGTTATTTATAAAGTTTTTTTTAAAATTAATTTTATTATTTAGTTTATTATTAGATAATTAATTATTTTTTTTGGCCCACAATTACCGATTGCAGATATATTCAACAAACGGTGCTACAAAAATGTCGGCTGTTTTTACTCCCTGAGCTTTACAGATAATGATCGGGGCCATATTGAAATGATGCCCATGAGCCCGGGTGAGATAGACGTCAGGTTTCTAGTATTTACTAAACAGATGCCCAAACACGGTGTTGTCTATCCGTATAAATTCAATATCAAACGATTCAGGGACAGTACGTTCAATCCCCGACATAGGACTATAATTATTGTCCACGGCTACGATAGTACCATTGAAAACTGGATGCTAGTATGTATAGTTTTTTTTGTGTGTGTATGTGTGTGTATGTGTGTGTATGTGTGTGTATGTGTGTGTATGTGTGTGTATGTGTGTGTATGTGTGTGTATGTGTGTGTATGTGTGTGTATGTGTGTGTATGTGTGTGTATGTGTGTGTATGTGTGTGTATGTGTGTGTATGTGTGTGTATGTGTGTGTATGTGTGTGTATGTGTGTGTATGTGTGTGTATGTGTGTGTATGTGTGTGTATGTGTGTGTATGTGTGTGTATGCGTGTGTGTGTGTATGTGTGTGTATGTGTGTGTATGTGAGTGTGTATATGTGTGTATGTATGCATGTGTGTATGTATGCATGTGTGTCAATAGTAATAATACTAATACTGGTAATGTTATTTTAATATTGACTAGTTTTATTAAAAAAAATAATTTATTATATTATAAATATAATATTATTAAATAAAATTGTTTTATTATATCATTATTTAAAAAAAATAATAATTTTAGGACATTAGAAACATGATCTATGGATTACCAAATAACGATTATAATGTTATTTTAGTCGATTGGCATAAAGGTATAGTAGACATAATATTTAGTTATATTTTTTATTAATAAATCTATTGATATATATATATTAATTTTATTATTTATATATTATTTAATGTATATTTCAATATTTTTAATACAAAAATTTTTAGTTATATATATATATAATAGTTTTTATTTTAATTTTAAATACAAACATACAGTATATCATAAAAGTAATTATTTTTGAAAAAAAACAAAATTTACATACAGGTGCCATGCAAATGATCTACTATTTGTCGGCATCGAGCACCCAGGTAGTCGGCGCCCTGATTGCCTACTTTATCAATCGTATCTGTACCGATACCTATGGCCGCCATCTGATTACAAACGCCGACTTCTATCTGATTGGCCACAGTCTCGGCGCTCATGCGGTCGGTTTTGCCGGCAAACGGCTGGTCAATCCCCAGGTGTCCAGAATTACGGGTCTCGATCCGGCAGGTAATACACCCTTATCTCTACCCCCCCCCCACCTGATTGCCTACTCCTCACTTATTCCCGTGACTAATATAAACAATTACTAATCCAATACAAAAACATCGGGTGTGTGTGTGTGTGTATGTATTTGTATGTATTTGTATGTATGTATTTGTATGTATGTGTTTGTATGTATGTGTTTGTATGTATGTGTGTATGTGTTTGTATGTATGTGTGTGTGTATGTATGTGTCTGTATTTATATATATATGTGTGTGTATGTATGTGTCTGTATGTATGTGTCTGTATGTATGTGTGTGTATGTATGTGTGTGTATGTATGTGTCTCTATGTATGTGTCTCTATGTATGTGTCTCTATGTATGTGTGTATATATGTGTGTATGTGTGTGTGTGTGTATGTATAATATTCATGTGGTGTATGTATGTATGTGTGACTGATATTAGGTCCCGGTTTTATGTTAAATAACCTACAGTATAGGCTAAGCTCTACCGACGCCTCTTATGTCGAAGCAATTCATACGGATATGGCATCGGATGTATTGCACGGACTCGGCCTGAATCAGGTGGTCGGCAATATTGACTTCTATCCTAACGGCGGTTATCTACAGGTAATAATAATAATAATAACAGATAATTATGATAAGCACCTATACGTACGGTAATCCCATTTTGCTATTTAAAAAAAATATAGCCAGGCTGTCCCCAAACCAGTATGATAGTAACATTGTTTAAGGCAATGGGAAAGTTATCCTGTTCACATAGCCGATCCTATCAATTGGCTTATGGATTAGGTATGTATTTATATATATATATATATACAGTATATACTTATATATACTTATACAGGTATATATATATATATTTTAAGGCAACCCCGATGCTATTTGCCAGCCGGTTGGCTATCTATGCCAATCGTACGACTATTTTCTGGAAGGCCGGTGCTCCAGCTGCCAGTCCTTAACAAATATGACTACCTGTCAAGTGATGGGCATCTATCCCGGTGTCAACAAAAACTTATTAAACAACATTAATTATAATAATAATAATAATAATTTAACTACTAAATTGGGGGGAGGAGGAACCGGGTGGAAATTTTATTTCAATACGGCAGCCCTACCCGACTATTGTCGTAATTTTATTTTTAAATTATTTTTTTAGTTATTATTTATATATTTTTTTATAAATATATTTTATATTTTATTATAAATATATTTTATATTTTATTATAAATTAATTTTATATTTTATTATAAATATATGTTATTATAAAATATATTTTATTATAAATATATGTTATTATAAAATATATTTTATTATAAATATATGTTATTATAAAATATATTTTATATTTTATTATAAATATATTTAATTTTTTATTTAATTTATATATATATCTATATATTAATATATTGGTGGCTAGTTTATCACTATCAAATAGCTATACATATAGCTAGCAATACAACCCAATTAGCCAGCAATGGCAGCACCAGTACCAACAATAGCAACAATAACACTATGACCCCATGGGGTCAATTTCAGTTGACCTTGGATGGCCAGTATGGTCAACAGGAACGCAGTAATTTGACCCTATATAGGACCCTGAGCCATATTGTACCGGGTAAAATACATACACTATTGGTTACATTCAGACAGTTAGTCCAGGAAATTTCCAGTGGATCATTTGCCTGGTACAGTTTTGAGGATCAACCCAATCAATCCCAACAACAACAAAGCACCGGGATCCCTGTCCAATTTACTATCAAATTAATTGAAATTAATTATATGAGCCATCCATACAAAAAGTATTTATTTATTTAAAAAAAATATATAATATGATTATAAATATTACAATTAATTTATGAATAAATAGATATAGTTTTAGTTTAGTCTAAAAATTAATTTTTTACTTAATTTATTGTTATATTTAAAAAAAATTAATAGCTAGATGAAAACAAAAATTTAGTTAGCATGATAGAAAAAAATTAAAAATTGAAAATGTATATTATTTTTGATAACAATTATTTTATTTAAATGTCTATTTAGTTTGCAATTATAATTAAATACTAGAAAAATAGTTAATAAAATTTATTTATATTTTATTTGGGGTATAATTAGCTATTTTTATAAAAAAATAGTTTTATTATTATTATTATTAATTAACTAATTATTAACTTACTGTATTTTCCTTTAATTATCAATTAATTACTTTATAACTATATATTATATATACAAGTATTAGACAAGATTTGTCGACAATCCTATGTCCTGTTAATAATAACAACAAAAACAAAAACAACAGCCAAATGGTCAAACCTGACGGTCCGACCATCTATTTTAGGACATGTAAGCCAAGTAAACACCAGTTAGCCAAACGTTCAACTGATATACCATACGATAAATTGGTTACAATAACCAAAATCATTGATATGACAACAATTGATTATGAAAATAATGTTTATCTAAAAACTAAATTAGAAACACTATCTAAATATGTATAATAATTATTAATAATTAATTAAATATATATATATGTATTTTATATATACAATAATATACAAAAAATAAATATATAAATTATAATAATTTATAATATAAATATATATATATAATAATTTACAATATAAATACAGTATATATATAATAACAATAATATTTAAATAAGGATTAATAATAATTAATTTAATATATTAATAATTAGTTAAAATTCAAAAATTTATAAAAAACAAAAAATTTAATTAATTAATTAATTAATAGATAAATATTTTTTTAAAAATTTATAGAAATAAATTTTAATTTATTTATTTTTTTAAATATCATTATATTTTTCCTATTATTCATCATTTAATTATTAATTAATTATTATTAAATTTGCAAATGTAATAATAATCAAATAATGGTATGATAAAAAATTTATGATTATTTTTTTTGATGTTATAATTTAAATTAAAAAAACATTTGCTTTACATTACTTATAAATTAGTTTAATTCAATATGTAATTCAATTTTAATAAATATTTATAGTAATAATTATTTTTTAAAAAAATTATATACATTTTTTTCCTAACTTATAACACTAGTTATACTATACAACCATATGTACTGTATATATATATACAGTAAAATYATATATATATATATATATATATCATTGAATCCTATCAAACATAAGTGTAAATATTTAAATAAATATAATTATCAATTAAATTATAACAAAAATAATATTAAAAATATTTAATGTTTACAATAAAACAAATTTAAAAAAAAAACTTTAGGTGCAATTTTTATTTTATTTTTTTTAAATATTTATTGCACTCATCAATATAATTTATTTATATTAAAAAATTATAGATAAAAATATTTTGCATTTAATATATTATTATTAGAGTTTTATTTATGTATATAAATACTTGTGAAATATAATTAATTAAATAATATATATATTATTATTAGTATTTTTATACATAAAAATAAAAATGGAAATTATTAGTCTATTTTCCACTAATTTATTGTTTATATCAACTATTATTACTTCACTAATATGTTTAATATATTGGTAAATGTATATATATATATAAATAATAATATAAATATTATAATTTATTTAATTAATTTTTATTTAATTTTTATTAGGAAACTAACCAATAATTTAAATTACTGGACTAGACTGGGCATTCCGGGACCGAAACCGTATCCATTGATCGGTACCTTAATCTACTCGTTTCTAACGCCTATCGTTGATATTGAGATCAAATGGTTTCAAAAATATGGTCCGATTTACGGGTAATTATTAATTAAAATAAATATTTATTTATTTCAAAAAAATACTAATTATTATTATTATTATTATTATTATTATTATTATTATTATTATTATTATTATTATTATTATTATTATTATTATTATTATTATTATTATTATTATTATTATTATTATTATTATTATTATTATTATTATTATTATTATTASTATTATTATTATTATTATTATTATTATTATTATTATTATTATTATTATTATTATTATTATTATTATTATTATTATTATTATTATTATTATTATTATTATTATTATTATTATTATTATTATTATTATTATTATTATTATTATTATTATTATTATTATTATTATTATTATTATTATTATTATTATTATTATTATTTTATTATCAGACTATTCAACAAAACCAAACCAATGGTCAGTGTCGGCGAACCGGAACTATTGAAACAAATTCTGGTCAAAGATTTCCACTTATTTACCGACCGTAAGGATCGTTTGGCCGATCATCCGGTTATCAGTAAAAACCTATTCAACTCTACGGGCGACGACTGGCGCCGATACCGATCCATATTGAGTCCAACCTTTTCAAGCGGTAAAATGCGTCAAATGTTTCCGATTATACGGGAATGTCTGGACGGGTTTGAACAGGCATTACACGAGAGGACAGGTAGTACTAGTAGTAGTAGTACTACTACTAGTAGACCCGTAACAATCAATGCCAAAGAGTGGACATCCAGTTTTACAATGGATGTTATAGCTAGCTGTGCATTCGCTACTAAAATCCAGGCCTACGACAGCACCGGTAGGTTGTCAACCATCACTAATCAATCGGTCAACAATCCGTTTGTCTATCACGCCCGACGGCTGCTATCCATTCGCTGGTGGTCAATGTTGGCAATGGCTATACTACCCAAACGGGTATTGATGGCCATTGGGCTGAAATGGCCAGTCCCTGAACGACACAATCAGTTTTTCTTTGATCTGACCCGCAGTGTTATCCGGAAGCGCAAACAGCTGGCCGACGGCACAGGTAGTCAACAACCAAAGTATACAGATTTTATACAACTCATGATGAATGCAGAGATGATTGATAGTAGTAGTGGTGGTAGTGGTGGTGGTGGTGTTGGCGATGATGACCTAAACGATACTACCGAAGCTCATCACGTCAACGATGGTAATGTAATATTATATATAATACAGTAGTATATCATTCATACAGTAGTTGTCATATTGTTAAATATATAAATAGTTTTATATCATAAATTAATTAATTAATATTAACTTATAATTAGATATTAATTAGGTTATGATTTATTTATGTTAAAGAGTTAGGATTATTAATACTATTATTAAATAATAGCAATAATTATTAATATTACTGTATTATTAAATAATAATTATTATTACTTTATAATTAAATAATAATTATTACTACTGTATTATAAAATAATAATTATTATTATAATTAAATAATTTTTTGTATTTTTATAAACTTTCAAATAATACTATTATTAAAAGGCAATGAAGAGCAGGAAATTGAGCGGAAAATATTGTCAACGGCGGCGGCGGCCGCGGCCAACAACAAACACCAACAACAACAAAAACGACTGACCGAAACGGAAATCCAGGCTCAGGGATGGGTATTTTTTTTGGCCGGCCGCTGGCTTATTTGATGTACGAGCTGGCCATGAATCCGGCGGTTCAGGATCGGCTCCTGGATGAACTGGTCCGGGCATTTGGCCGTATCGATGGCCGTACCGGTAGTACCGGTGCCGAAAACTACCCGACATACGATCAGCTATCAAAGCTACCCTATTTGGATGCTGTAGTATCGGAAACTCTGCGCATGTATCCGCCGGTTACTACTACCGATCGCAAACTAGTGTCCAACACTGGCTATAGGTTAGGCCAAACAGGTATTACCCTAAGTCCCGGACAGGTAGTATCCATACCTATCTATGCTATACATCACTGCGACCGGTTCTACCCGAATGCCGGGCAATTCAAACCGGATCGTTGGCTACTACCCGACCCAATGATGATACCCTATACATACCTGCCGTTTGGTGCCGGCCCTCGCAACTGTATTGGTATGCGATTTGCATTGATGGAAATTAAACTCAGTTTGGCACAGTTGGTCAGGGGTTTCCAGTTTAGCCGTACCCCCCAAACAGCCGTTCCCCTAGAGTTCAGGAAAGTTGTCCGATTGTGTTCAGCTAAAGAAATTATGGTCGGTATTGAGGAAAGACATTAAGGAAACAAAAAATTAAATTAGTTTTTAATTAATTAATAATATTTTAATAGTTTTTTTTAAACATTTATGTTTTTTTATGTTTCAATTGTATATCAAGTTATATATATATATATATATATATAGTTAATGATTAGTTAACGATATTATTATTATTATTAATATGATTTCAATTTTATGAAAATAATTATTAGTTTTTTTTATTTTAGTTTTTTTTATTGAATATTTAAATATATTATAATTAAATAATAAAAGTTTATTTAAACTATTAATATTGAATATACGTTTATATTGAATTAATATAATAATAATTATTATTATTAATGACTCTTACTAAATATTTATTGAAAACAATAATTTAAAAAAATAAAACAATAAAATTTTATAATTAATTAATTATTTATTTATTTACAAATCAAATTACTCTATTGTGTATAATATACTGTATATTGAATTATTAATATGTTTTTTTATATAAATAACTAATTATTGGTTAACAAATAATTTATATCAAATTAGGATAATATAAAATTTAAAATAATAGAAATATATTATTAAAATTAATTTGTTTAAATAATCCCATATTTTTTACTACTACTACTACTAAAATATTAAATACTATTAAAGATTATGTAAAAAAAATGATTGTTAGAGTAGTAAATTTATTGGGAAAGTTATGTATATTTATAGTTTAGGATTTAATTATTGTATTTTTTATTTAATAATAACTAATAACTACTACTAATAATAATCAAATTTATTATTAAGATTATTAATTAATAATAATTAATTATTAATTGAATAAAAAAAATTGTTTATAATTCAATTAGTTGTCGTATAAATTATGTTTAAATTTATTTTAATTTTTAATTTTAGTTAATTATTTTGGTTCGGTTTGTTGTTGTTGTTGTTAAAAACATGCTATAGTTTTCATCTCTATTATATATATACAGTATATATTTTAATATATTAAATTTTTAGCAGACCTAAACATATTTGATTAATTAATTTAATCAATATTTATATTGAAAATAATATTATTTTTTTTTAATTATATATAGTATTTAATAATAATGTATTTATTTATTATTAAATTAACATTTTTCTAGTTAAATACATTTTTGTTTTTTAATAATAATAAAATAAAATAAAAATAAATTAAACAAACAAACAAACAAAATGTATGACTTATATATATTGTTATTAGTTTTAATAGTATGGTTATTAATTGTACTAGGTGCTTCAATATATCATTATAGTATTATAATGTATAAAATCAATACTAATAATATTATTTATCAAAAATATTTTGAAAAAATTGTTTTATGTTTCTCTCTATTAGCAAATTATAAACAGATATTCAATATAACTAATAATAATAATAATAATTGTGATAATAATCAAATCAAAACAATCGTACGTACAATCAATGCACGCGATAAAACACGTGTTATGCATGGTTTACGTATGTTTTGTCAATTGCAAATGTTGTTAACACATTTTTTACTAATTATATCATCGTATAATCAATATAATTATGATAATTATTTTCTACCAATGGCTAATTCATTAGAAACTATGTAATATATATATATATATATATATATATATATATATTTGAATATGGATATACCGTAATATCTATGACATGGGTGTTAATTTTAAAAAAAATTGTTGTATATACTAGTATTGTAAATATATACAAACAAACATAATTTTATTATGTATATAAAATTGATGATATATTATATGATAGATTTTTTTAATGAAATATAACAAATTAAATTTTTCAATTGAATGTATAAAAATTTAATTATTTAAATAGATATGTATTCAGTATAAAATAGAAATTATTTATTAATTTCTATATTATACTTTTATTTATTTTTTTAAAAAATAATATTTTGTGCTTGTATATATAAAAAAATGATTAGAAAATCATATGCTATTATATTATTTAAAAAAAATAATATTTATTATATTTACAAAAAATAATTAACACCTAAGTTATAGACATTTTGCTATATCCATAGTCATGTATATATATATATATATATTATTAAAATAATTAAAAAAAAAAAAAATTTTCATATTATAAATATTTATTAAGCTATATATCGTTAGCCCATTTTCGTATATTTCTGGCCTTAATGTTCATTATAAACGGTATGTCATGTATGTTATGGTTTATGGACTATCCGGACAAACATCCCGGTTCCGGACCATTGAAACAATGTCTAGAGTTTTATTTTGAACGATTCGGACGATTATTACCCATATATTATCTGATAGTCAGCTGTTATATTGTTTATCTAAAATATCTAATACCCGATCGTTTCTATGATAGCCGACTACTAGATAGTTGTCCCCAAAACGGGTTTCAAATGAAATTGTTTAACTATGCATTAGTTGGTCAGCCTAGTAAAATGGTATTATTTTTTATTTATTTATATTAATATTAAAAATATATTAAATTAATTTAGTTATTATTTTTTATAAAAAAATTATTTATTTATTTAATTTAGTTATTATTATTTATATCAAATTTATTTATTTTAGTTATTATTTTTTATAAAAAATTATTTATTTATTTAATTTAGTTATTATAGTTTATAAAAATTTATTTATTTTATTATTATTATTATTATTATTTATAAAAATTTATTTATTTATTAGTTATTATTATTTATAAAAAAATTTATTTATTTATTTAATAGTTATTATTAGTTATTAATTTATTATCTAAACTATAATTAAAGTAATTTTATTATCAAAGAAAAAAAAACATAAAAAAATAATTGTATTTTTTTAAATAATTACTAAATAAAACTATATTTAGATAAAACTGTATATAAAATATATATTTATATGAAAAATTTATTTATTGGTATCTATAGTGTCCACCGACTGTATGGTATAACAATGTATTAATATATTATATAATATTTACACCAATATTTGCAATGTGTTTCAAACGGTATTTATTTAATTTTTTAAAACTAAACTAAATTATAAAATTAAATATTATTTTATTTTTTTTTAAATTTTCAATTATTATATATATGTAGTAATTATAAATTGGGTATCTTAGTAATTGTACTGGCTAATCTATATTATTTATGGCAAATATTTACTATATCTATTGAACATAAACATAGATCAGTTAACATATTAAACAGTGTTAATACAACTAAACTACCTACACATACAATTAGGTATTAATAATAATTAATTATTTTTAATTTTTCAAAAAGATATATAAGTTTTTTATAATTATTAATTTTTAACAAAAAAATAAATTAAATATTTCAATAGCAATAAACAAGAAATCAATATCTATTTACATTGTATGCCATTAAAATACGGTATATCCTATATGACTGGCCTATTACTAGGCTATCTAATCGATAGTAACCGATATTTGATAATCTACCGGAGCCAATTAGCTAGTAAATTGATCAAGATCATCATAATCATATGGACAGTTATGCTAGCAATTGGCTATAATAAACATCATACACCCATTGAATGGGATATCTATCTAACATCCTGGGATGCAGCCGTCTATGAACTATTGAATACAATTATCCTAACCTATGGTCTAATATGTCTAATTGAGAGCACCGGTAGCCCATTATTTAAATTTTTATCATCCAACTATTGGAAACCATTGAGATCATCCATACAGATAGTCTACCTTGGTCATACTATGATCTATACATGGCTGCTGGCAATGCTACCCGATCTGGTACTGTCCCATAGATATGCCCTACCAATCGTCATAGTGTATGCACTGGTATGTATAGTGACAACCTATACAATATGTATACCATTGACGGCTATACTGGAAATACCTGTTATTAGATTACAACAATTGTTGTCTAAAACACTAATTAATTAATTAGTTAATTATTTTTTGTTTGAAAATTAAATATTACTAATTATTACAGTATTTGAATATTTATTTCAATTTATAGTATTTATAATATATATATTTTTTGTATAATTTTATTTTAACTTAAAAAAATTATATTCAAATTTTCTAATTTTTTAATTTGTATTATCAATTAAATAATATTTTTTATATTTATATAAATATATTTATTATTATTAATACACATTAACTGTTAAATAAGTATATATAATATTGATAGACATTTATAATTTAATACACAAATAATTGTTAGTAATTAATGTAATAATTAATTAATTAATTTTATTATTAGTTTGTATTTTTTTACTAAATTTTTTTAGATGAAAAACAACAGAAAATATCTATTAATATATTAATACTATTTAGTATTTTATTATTAAAAATGGTATTAAATTTTTAATAAATAAAAACTTATAATAATAAAAAAATATTACAATTTATTATTTAAAAAAATCATCAACTATTATATAATAGCTATATTAAAGTATATATTATAAACAGTTTATATTAAATAAATATATAGATTTTTTTGTTGAATAAATATCATAATAGTTATGTATCAATAAATAGGACAGTTAGCTATTACAGTATTATTAGTAGTAGTAGTAAATAGTTAGTAAAATATATATATATCTATCTATATATCTATTTTATCCATTGATATATCTTTGATATAGAAATATAGGACAATAACTATTAGACACAAAACAATTATAAAACCGACATTTGATAGGACATAGGCTTCCTGAGCGCTACCGGCTATACAAACCAAACCAAACCAAACAAACATAAAAATAAACTACAGTTCCTTAATCAATACAAATAAACAAATACTTACAGACAATAATATGGACAACAAGTAGGCCAAGTAGTAGACAGGCTTGTATGGCAAATATATACATACATATCCGGCACAACAGTGGCCGGGCATACCAACTGGCATATATGGCTACGGCTACCGTTACAAACGATATCAACAGGAATACGATGGTCAGTATGTCGTCCGGTCGCCAACCATCCTGGTTTCGGTGACTGCCAATCAAATGGGTTAGTGTTACGGCCCAGACAATGGCCAACACCGAGCACAGTATCAGTAGTACTACTTTCAGATAGATGTTGTTTGATGATGGCTTTCCCGTCATTGCTGGGGGAATGGGATCAAATCTATCGATGTGTGTGTGTGTGTGTGTGTGTGGTTGTGATAGACAGATATAGGTGTGTGTGTGTGTGTGGGTGGGTGGTTGTGATAGACAGGTATATATATGTGTGTGTGTGTGTGGGTGGTTGTGATAGACAGGTATAGATATTTGAATGTGTGTATGTGTGTGGGTGGTTGTGATAGACAGATATAGGTGTGTGTGTGTGTGTGTGTGTGTGTGGTTGTGATAGACAGGTATAGGTGTGTGTGTGTGGTTGTGATAGACAGATATAGTTGTGTGTGTGTGTGTGTGTGTGTTGTAGTGTATAGTGTGTGTGTGTGTGTGGGTGGTTGTGATAGACAGGTATAGGTGTTTGAATTTGTGTGTGTGTGTGTGTTAAAAAAAGTATTGTTTGGTTAGTATTTTTTTTTGGTATAATTATATATAATATTAGTAAACAGTTAGTACCTGTGATATAAAGATTTTTCTAATATACAACTAAACCGTTTGTTTTATTTTAATTTTATATTATTTTATGTGTTGTTATATATGATATTAAACTGATTGTAACAATACATTGTTGACAACTAACTATAGTAAAAAACTGCATGCTATAGGCATTCAATTAAATTAAATTTTTTCATTATTATTATTAATTAAATTTTGTTGTTTTATAATAATTAAAATATCTATTAATTAAAAATACAGTAATTATAACTGAAAACTTGAAATTTAATACATAATCTGTTTATACAAACACATTAACATTAGTGATATATGACTAACCACTAACCCAGTCTACTACCTATACCCTAACCCTCTAACCTACCCTACCTTTAAAACTATTTTTTTATTAATAAAAACTTAATCAATATATAATAATCTCGAGAAGTATCACAAAATTTTGAAATTAAATTAGATATACAGTTAAAAAAAACATTTAATAATAATAATTGTGTGTTTGCAACAATACCAGTGTATATTGAATACAGATTTATTATATAATAAAATAGTTAACAGTATTTAAATATTATTATTTTTGGACAACTAATCTATTAATTAATTAATTATTGTTATTACAGACTATTTTTTTGGCTACAAAACTATATACTAACGGGTATTTTGTTGATTTCAATTGGGTTTAAGTTGTATTGAATTATTATTTTTTTAATTATCCATCAAATCTAACCATCAATTTGATCTCAACTCTCTCTCTCTCTCTCTCTCTCTCTCTCTCTCTCTCTCTCTCTCTCTCTCTCTATCTATCTATCTATCTATCTATCTATCTATCTATCACTGTATATTTAATCAGCATATCTGCCTAATCTAACCCATATAGTAGTAGAATCGGTATCCCATTACCTATTGGCACATCCCTGTCCTCTCACTCATCACATCGATAAACAACAGCACTAGCAATGGGCGGACAGTCGACCAATTTTTTTCTGAAAATCATAATCATTGTCCTCAGTCTGGTACTGGCTATTGTCTGGGCTGTACAGCTATACGATCTGTGTGTCCATTCAAATTGGCAACCACCGGACATACTGGCCATTATATTCATGTCCATATCGTTGATGACAATTTTGGTTACCATCTATGCTGCCTGGTTTGAAAACGCCTCCCTATGCCAGTCATGTATGTATGTATTTGGCGTACAGGCCCTCATACTATTGGTAATGCTTATCATCCATATTGTTGCCTGTAAGTGATGCCCAGGGAGGTGCAGTGAGGGGTGGGTTGTTTGGGGGAGGAACTGATGATTTGATTTTTGTTTTGTATGTATGTATAGCCGGCAACAATCGCGGCTATTATGTCGGATCAACTGTTGGTCTGATCATTGTCTTAGCACTACTAGCACTGGTACTATTTTTTTATGCCAAAAATATCGGTTGACATACCTGTCCTCACACATAGATAACCACACAAATTATATACTATATTAATACTACTTAATAATTATTTGGTTTTTTCTATTATATATATATTTAAAGTAGTTATCAATTTTTATTCAATTCATTCAATTATTAGTATTTTTGTGTTTATCTATAAAAAAAAATTTCATAACATTTTTTTAATTAAATTTTGATTATTATTATTATTATTATATTTTTTTTAAAAATCTAATGTTTTTTGTGATTATATTTTCATCATTTGTATTGTCAGTTAATATAATTACAGTATAATTAGTTTTTTTTATCTATATATATATAAATAATGATTTAAATAAAAAATTTCTATACAATTAACAATTAATAAACATATTTCTCTAATTTAAATATATGTACTGATAATTAATAATAAAAAAAAATTTGATGAAAAACAAAAATAATGGATAAAATAAATATTTTTAGAAAATAAACAAATCATTCAATACATTTAAAAAAATCTATTGTTTTTTTAAAAACTATACAACTATACAAACCAATTGTCAAATCAATCAATCAATTAATTAGTCAATCAATCAATTAAAAGTATATATCAATTGTTCATTACTAACGGTAATTAAATTTTATATATAAAATAAATAAAAGTTTTTTTTTATATAAAAAAAATAATATATAAATATAACCTAAAACTGTGTGTCGTTTAAAAAAAAAATACTATATGTATGTATCATATGGGTTGTCCCGCAATTTTTTTTGGTGGTCATACCCCCCCCCCCCCCCCCCCCCCCCCATACCACCCGATCAAATGCCAATCAATCATCACTATCGGTGTCGTCAACAGTATTTACGACCACCCGTTTGATGGACGATCGGGTAGATATCAAACAACGTTTAGCAGCCGTAGTAGTAGTTATCAGCCGTTTAGTGGTGGTGTTGGTGGTGGCCATTGTTGGATAACCTATAGGTGCGGACAGCGGCGGCGGCAGTGAATGTTCGCTATCAAAATAGACGCTTTCGTTGTCGTCGCTATCGTCGTCGATGTCCATCAGTGGCCGCTCACGGGTTATCTCTTCCATCGATGAAATACTTGATTTCATTTTAGCCGACACTTTCGGCTTCGGCGGCGACACTAAAATAACTTTTCGTTTGGTTTCTGCCGACGACCACATCATGGACGACATATCGGCCGAAATGGTAATCATAGGCAATGCGGACATCGATTGAAAACGTTTGGGCCGCCCATCAACTACTGAGTCCTTCGTAATCGTCGTAGAGTTGGTCGTAGACGTCGCCGCTGCCGACGATTTAGTGGTCAACTGGTTATGATTGCGGTGTTGTTGCGGTCGGCGATAATCTCCTCCTCCGCCGGGCGACGGCAAGTCAAACGATCGCCGATTAACGCCATTGCGTACAAATCGATGGCCACCACCACCACCGCCGTAGTCGCCAATCGTATTATTATTATTATTATTAGATTTACGGCCAGCGTTAGTGTTAGCCGTTGTTGTTGTTGGTCGAGGCTGTGGTGGTGGCGCTGCAGCCGCCGAGCGGTTACCCAAATCGCGGACATAATAGCCAACCGGATGACTAAGAAAACCGACTGATTGGCCGGTGTTTAGTATCATTTCCCGACCGTTGACTTTCTTCAGTATAATCTGTTCGTAAGGTTGATGTTGTTGTGGCCGATGATAATCTCGGTGATGATGATGGCCATTGTGGTGGCCATTGCTGGCCGATGGCGGCGGCGGTGATGGTGGCGTCAACGGTACGGCAGCGGCTGTCACGGTGGTGGCCAATGGTTTCGGTCGGCGCAATGTCAACAACGTCGGTGACGTCAAATCGGCGGCCGAATCGTAGGCCGAATCTATGCTAACATTATGGCCATCATTTGTACCTACAGTGACCATCAATGGTGATGATAACTGTTGCCGATTGCCGTCGGTATCATTATTGTTGGCCACTTTGTTGTTGTTATCCGTTTCAGTGTTGACCACCGATTTGTTGGCCGCCTTTAATAACGTCAAACTGCGCTTAGCTTTAGCCCACATGTCGTCTCTCTCTCTCTCTCTCTCTATCGTTCAAAATCTGGTCAGTCTCTGGTCACCCGATAAACAACCAATTGATTGATTGGACGGTTCGGTCAATCAATCAGTCAATGCTTTCAATAAAATAAAAGTCTATTTTAATTGATAGTCACATGACTTGTGTATATATATTGACTGTTCAATAGAGTAGTGAAACCTTTAATTTTTTTGTTGGTTTTTTTTCTTTAAAAAATTACCGGTTATTGGTTTGGGTATAAAAAAAATTAGATTTTTTTCAATATTAATAATAATTATTATTAGTTTAGTTTAGTTAAAAAAAATTTTTTTTTTAGTTATTTATTATTAATTATTTTTAAAAATTAAAATACTTAATAAAATTCATGTATTTTTTTTTAGTTATTTAATTATTTGTAAATAAAAAATATAATGTTTTTTTATTACTGTATTATTATACGGGATATTAATTAGTGGGGGAGGGGGTGGCTAACGGGTCGGTTTGGATTATTTTGTTTTGTTTAGTCAAAATTTATTTTAAACTACACTATACACTGTTTATACGATACAGTTAATGTAGGGCTTAATTAATTAATTAATTAATTTAATTTATTGTAAATTATTTAGTTTTTAAATATTCAATGTTTAATTAATAATATAATTATTTTTTTATAAGTCTATTATTAATATTAATTTTTTAATAATAGTAATAATAATAATAATAATATAAAAGTAACATTTTATAATCAATTAATACATTATATGGGATAATATGTATATAATTATGTTAATAACTAAAAATTTATTTTTTAAAAAAATCAATTAATTTAATTATAAAAAAAAATATTCATAATATTTAGATTAAATAATTATTTATTAAATCAATGATATAAATTATTATCTATATTATTGATATTATTAAAAAAATTTAATTTTTATCTACAATTATATATACAGTATATATATATTAATTGACTAATTTTTTTATTTGATTAATTAATTAGTAAATAATGTTATAAATGATAAGCAAATGGGTGTCAAAAAAAATTTACTGTAATTTATCAAATTACAAAAAAATTATAATTTTTTGTAAATATTTATATATGCTAAATTATTTTTTTTAAAATTATTTGTGTCAATCAATCAATTTTAATCAATCAAAAAAATTATTTAATCAAATATAGGAAACTATAAAAAAATATAAATATGAGTACAATTCAAACACAATTTTAAATATATTAAAAAATAATTTTTAAATAAATTATTTGATTAAAACTAAATAATTCACACAAAGTTTTTTTTGTGAAAAATATGAAAAATTTTATTGTAGGCTATATTTTAGTAATTTGTTTTACTAAACAAATCTATACAGAAAAGTATACATATTTTTAAAAAAATTTAATTAATATATTTAAAAATTATAAATTAATTAGTTATATATAATTTTTTTTTAATTTTATTTTTTTTTTAAAAAGTGATTCAATAATGGCCTTAAAACAGATTAAACAAAAATTTGATCCAAATATCTATGATAAAGATATATCACCAAAATTAGGAGGTATTTAAAATAAATAAATAAATAATAAAAAAATAATTATTTATAAAAATAATTATAAAATTAATGTATATCTTAATAAATTATTATTTCCAAAAAATATTTAATAATTATAACTTATTTATACTTAAATTACAAGTTTAAAAAAACTATTTTTTCAACAAAAAATAATATTTATAAATATTTTTATTTTATTATTTTAATTTTTTTTAAGGTAATTCACCAGTCGATGTCAATATTACAATAAATATTTTAACTGTTAAACTGGATCCTATTGATAAGGTATTGTAATTAAATTAATTAAATAATAATAATATTAAAAAATAATAAAATAAAAAACTTGAAAACTTATTTTTCTGATAATTATATAATATTACACAATATATATATAGCTATTGACAACAAACATGTATTATCGGGAAAAATGGTCAGATCCTAGACTACAGCACATGTACGCTGGCCATAGAGTTACGGGTGGCCAGCAATTTGTCGACCGTGTCTGGTCGCCCGATACCTATGTGGTCAATGCCCGTACAGTTACGGCCGTATCGCTACCGAAACCGACTGTTTATTTGATGATCACATCGGACGGTACAGTATTGCACAGTCAAAAGTATAGTAAATTTTTTTTATTGATTATTATTATTATTATTATTATAAACTAATTTAGTTATAATTATTTTTTAAAAATATATATATTATATATTGTATATAAACACCTATATATATATATATATATATATATATATATATAGATTGGAAGTTACCTCCCGGTGCCATCAATCAAACAGTACAACAATTGAATGTCCACTAATATTCGAGTCGTGTATGTTATTTAAATAATTATATATATAATTAATTAATTATGTTATTAATTAATTAATTGTGTTATTAATTAATTAATTATGTTATTAATTAATTAAAATTATTAGATGCCTATAAAAGCAATCAAATTGTCTATAATTGGGGTTTGGATCAAAAATCGGTAGATTTTGACAATAATATCGATACGGGTAGTGATGATGATTATCAATTGGTTAGGCAGCGGGCCGGCAAAAAAGTGGTCAAACAAAAGCAAACAACCGGTACGTGAATATATATATATATATTTATTTAGTAATTAAATTATATCTATTTTTTATAAAAATTAATTATTAAATTTTGTTTTTTTTTGTAGATATGTATTCACAACTTGAAATGATATTGTTTTTTAATAAAACTTAATTTATTTTATTTTTAAATAATACAATAATTGTTTGTAACAAACTTTAATATTAATAATTTTATTAATAAATTGATGTTATTTTTTTGTTTAACAAAAATTATATACTGTATTTAATATGTTATATATTTGTTTATTATATAAATATCATATAATCTATATTTTTTTATAACTATTTCATATGATATAAATGATTAAAAAAAATAGTTAATTATTTATTTTAGTTTTGTTTTTTTAATCTATTATTTAGTTAATTAAATAGTAAATTATAATTTATTTTTTATTGACATTGATTATCTAATTTTATTTATAGTAAAACAAACTAATAAAATAAAAATAAAAACCTAATTATTTGTTGTTTTTTATGATTATCAAACAACAATTAATAGGAAATAAAAATTATTTACTAATTATTACATAACATTACTTAATAAAAAAAATTATTATTTTAGTTATTATTTTTAATTATAAAAGATTATAAAAATAATTTAATACTTAAATTGTCAGGAAATTTAAATGTAAATGTAATGTAATATTAAGTATAAAATTAAATAATAATAAATGTTTTTTGACAGGATATCTATTTTGTATATAAATTAATTTAGTATAAAACTATTATATTATATAATAACTTATAATAGTTTTAATTTTAATAATAATTTACTAAAAAAATTAAATAAATAAAAACCATTTACTATATATATATATATATATATATTTTATAAAAAAATAAAAACATGAAAATTAATTTAATAATTATATTATCATTGGTAGTCATATTATGTTTGACACAAGTAATCAATTTATTTTATTTTTAATTTATTTTTATTTAAAAAATAAAATTATTTTTAATATTATTATATTTTTTTGAAGTTGAGTTATAGTCAAGAAGTGGAGGACACCGACGGTGATGACGACGACAACTCGGCCGCCAATTTGGAGGCCCCGACGGTAGAGGAAGGGGTGGACACCACCGCCGACGCCGACGACGATGATAATGATGGCCAGAATCGGCGTAAAAGACAGGCAACAAAAGGAGGCATTTTCAAGGACTGTCGTTCGGATAGAAACTGCCGAAAAGGTCAGGTATGCGACTATATTGGCCTATCGTTGAGAAAGGGCTGTCAATATAGACGCCGATTCCAGGGCTAACCCCCTCCCCCTCACACCCCACACACCCCATACAAACATATGGTCAATGTTTTGTTATTTGTAATTATTGTTTTGTTGTTTTGTTTTGTTGGTTATGTTATTAAATAAAATTTTATTTTTTTTTTGAATTTTGTTTTTTATGTTTATTTAATTTTTTTTTAAATTTAATAAATACTTATATTATTGAACTGTTTGTTGTTGTTATTTGATTGGATTTATTAAAAAAAATATTTAATTAATATATCTTTTAGTTAATGTTTTATTATTATTATTATTATTATTATTTTCAGAATAATTTGTATAAATATTTTTTTATACAATATTTATAATTTTATTCAAAAAAAATATTTCATTTAAAAATATTTTTGTTATTTTTTATAGTATTTTTTTTGAAATAATTTTCTAACTTTTTAAATGTGAAATATGTTAATCTATTTATATATTTTACAGGATATACAGTATTATATAATATTTATGTAATGTCTAAAAATATTATATATATATATATATATATATATATATATAATGTTATTTTTAGTGACATATTTTCTAGATTAATGATTTTATCTTATTTATTATTTTTTTGTAGAAATTTGTCAAAAAATAAATAAATATTGTTTTTGACATAATAAAAATTAATATATTATAAGACAAAAAAAACTTATTTTTTATTTTTTAAAAACTTATAATAAACTATAAAAATAATAATAAATTTAAAACTATAATAATGTATTATTATTATTATTTTAAAACTGTTATATAATTATGATATTTAATATCAAAATAAAAATTTTAAGTTTTTCATAATGATTTTTTATTTACAAAAATTATTAATTAATTTGCAAAATTATAATTTTATTATAACTAATAAATTAAAATTTGGTAATTACAGGCATTTATTATTTATTAAAATATATTACATTTATAAATTATAATATAATTTTGATGACAATTATCAATGATTTTATTTGAAAATGGGATAATAACTATTGAATATTTTATTATTTAAATTAAAATTTTTAGTTATAATATTATATTCATTTGCTGTATATTAAATTATTTAAATTTAATTTAATTGTAATAATTTTTCATTAAATATTGATTAAGATAATAATAATAATAGACAGTAATATAATAATATATAATAAATAAAAAAAAACAAAACAAAAATGAGATAAATAATGTGATAAAAACAATAGTAATGATAATAATAATAATAATAATAATAAGTAATATCTAAAAAATTAAATTATATCATATTATAATACTGTATAATAATAATAATAATAATAATAACAATAATTTTTAATTAATAAATATTTAGCGTAATAGTTATATATCAATAGTTAATTATAATAATTTTGTTTCAATTGATTTTAATTGATATATTTTATATTATTTATTTTTTTTTTTGAAAATTACAAAAATTAACTATAAGTATACTATATATATTAAAAACAAAATCTATTTTATATTTTATTTATTTATTTAATTTTCAGACAAAATTATGTTTGATTTTTAATTTTTCAATTTTATTTCTCTCCCTAACCGCCATTGCATAACCATAGGCCAGTATGGTTACCGATATCTGTATGGCCACCACAGTCAATGTCCATAACAAAATACGATGACTACCGTACAGGGCTAACACGGCACAGAGTCCGACCAAAAATATGGCCTCAATTACCGCATAAGCCAGCGACAGGTCATACCATTCACGATAGACGGCACACAAACCGATCAGCGATACGACTAATACAATGGCTATGAATATGATATTAACGGCAAACAGTTGGGCCAACTCGACTGCCGGTGCTATATATATGTATATAAGTGGGTGAGTGGGTGAGTATGTGATGGTATAATAAATAGAAAAATTGAGATAAAAAATGTTAGTTTAATTATAGCAACAATTTTGTTGTATATAATGTATGTTTCATTATTATGTATCTAATTATCTAATAAACAAAATTTATAAATAGATTTTTGTTTTTTTTTAAAAATAAAAATTAAATTTAAAAATAATTTCTAAGTAGTATTAATAATATTTTTTGTTGAAAAAAATAAATAAATAAAAAAAGTTTAGTTCATAATATGTAAAATTTTGTTTTTTTTAATTATCTAAAAAAATATATTTGTAATATAATAACTATAGTATAATAAGTTAATTAAAAAAAGTTATTTTAATAAACAACAAAATAATATAAATATATATACAGTATATATATATATATATATATATATATATATAATATACAGTATAACCAAAATACAAACAGATTTTTATAACAAACAAATAGTTTATATATATATATATATATCGTAATGATTTACATATAAGTAATCAAATTTTGTTTTTTGTTTTGTGATAATTATTATAAATAAAAAAATGATATTTTTTAAAATATATATATATATATTGTTATGTATACCTCCATCGTATAGTATGATCTCATGTTTGCCATCGATGTGGGCACTGATGACGGCAACCAATAGACAAAACCAGGCAATTGTTACAAACAAGTTGTGTATAATTAATATGATTTTTACAATTGAAAAGATTGTCTTGTCTTCCATTAGATTATTAAAAAAAATTAAATTATTTTTTTAAAAAATAATTAATAATTAAAAATCAAAAAAAAATTTTTGCGAAAAAAATATTCCCGAAATAATTAATTAATTCAAAAAATAATAATAGAAAATAAATAACTAAAATATTATTGTTGTTGTTGTTAAAACACTGTATAATAATTGAAGGAATAATAATAATAATAATGTAATAATAAAAATGTTAAGTTTTTTTTATTGTTGTTTAATTTAAAAACTTTTTTTTTATTATAGTTAACATATATAACACACACGATATTTCAATTTACATTATTATTATTATTTTTTTAATTAAAACAAAATGTTTTGACAATAATTTGATACTTTAAATCAAATATTCTATATATATATATATATATATATATATATATATATATATATATATATATATACTGTATATATATATATATTTAAAAAAAAATTTTTTTCAACAACAAAAAAAATGTTTGAAACTTATGTGTATATTAGTAGTTATTAGTTGTATATAAAGTGATGTTATTATATAACTGTTACAATAATTATTGAAATGTTATGTGAGAAAAACGTATGTATGTCTAAAATAAGTGTTTTTATTTTTGGGTTTTTAATTATATTATAACTTAGAAATATTATATACATTTTGAATATGAGTGTCATATACTGTAGTCTTTTTTTCTCTATCTCTCTCTCTCTCTCTCTCTCTCTCTCTCTCTCTCTCTCTCTTCAAAAATTATATTATATTTGTGGCAATCGTCCAAAAAAAACTAAATAATTTTTTTTGAGGCATCAAATGTGAAATTGAATGTATATTTTTGTACTGTATTTTATATATACAGTATAAGTAAATTAAGTTGTATTAAGCCTATGAATCTGTGTGTGTGTGTGTGTGTGTGTGTGTGTGTGTGTGTGTGTGTGTGTGTGTGTGTGTGTGTGTGTGTGTGTGTGTGTGTGTGTGTGTGTGTGTGTGTGTGTGTGTGTGTGTGTGTGTGTGTGTGTGTGTGTGTGTGTGTGTGTGTGTGTGTGTGTGTGTGTGTGTGTGTGTGTGTGTGTAGTCACATACACACACACACACACATACATACATACTCACACACACACACACACACACACACACACACACACACACACACACACACACACACACACACACACACACACACACACACACACACACACACACACACACACACACACACATACTCATACATACTCATACATACTCACACACACACATATATAAATATATATACGCGTATATCATCTTTATTATTACTAGTGTGTGTCTAAAATGTATTGTGTGTGTGTGTGTGTGTAAACCCCATATATATGTGTGTGTGTGTCTATGAATAGACTAAAGTGTGTGTGTGTGTGTGTGTGTGAGTGATCAGGGAGTGTATAGTGTGTGTGTGTGTGTGTGTTATGAGTGAATGGTTGCTTGAATTGATTGATAGATTAAAAGTTTCATCCCTAAGCTATGACATAATAGTCAATCATATATATACAATATATTTAGCATATATTTAGCATATAAACAGTGTATTAAAATATATTTATTATTAGTTATGATTTTATAACCTAAATGTAAATTATAGTTTAAAAAAATTTATTTTAAATCTCAGAAAAACATGTGTATTGTATAGTTTATAAACATTTTTTTGAAAATATATTTATTTACGATATTTACTAAATTAATAAATTTTAATTTAAATAAATAAATAAATACATTACTAATAAAAATAATAATAAATGTTAGATTTTTATGCATTATTTACAAAAATAAAAAAAATATTTTAATACGATATTAATATTTTTATTAACGATAATTCAATTATTTATTTTATTTTTTTTTTGATTAAAAATAATATCATTATTATTAATAATTATTTAGATTATTATTATGAATAATATTTTCAACAAAAAAAAATTAAACTACTATTTGCTATTATAAAAATGTATTAATAATAATAATAATAATTAAAAATAAAATTAATTATATATTAGATCGGCTGAGTCGAGAAATCCGCCGTCAATTTTCATTGTAATACCCGTCGTAAACCCGGAATCCCGATTTGAGGCCAAAAATACAATAGCTTTGGCAATATCGTCGGCAAACCCCTGGCGACCAATCGGTGTCTTACGGCAAACGGCCTGCCATAGTATATCCCGTTCCTCTTTGGTAAGTCCCGTAGCATTTTCCCAGATCGGTGTCTGTATCTGACCGGGACTTTACCGATAAATAATAATTATTTTTAATAAATTTATTTAAAAAAAATTAATAACTAAAACACATACTTAACAGCGTTAACACGTATACCCTGAGGACCCCATAGTAGGGCCAGATTTCTGGTCAACATATCTAACCCTTTAATTAATTAATTATAAATTATTTTAAATATATTATATTATTATTATTATTAATTATTTTTAATGTATAATTACCAGCTTTGGCGACACAATAGGATAGTGAATGTGGAAACTAATAGTCAATAAAAAATAAATATATAATTAAAAACGATTGATAAAAAAAATTAATAATTTTTTTGCAGTAATTAATTAACAAGTTTTCTATAAAAAAATTATTATTATTATTATTATTATTATCATAGGATAGTAATAATGAATATTAATTAATTAGTAATAATAATTATAATAATAATAAATATCTAATTATAGTAATAAAAAAATTACTAATATTATAATAATAACTAAATATAATTAATTAGTTAAACTAAAAATTAATTAATTAGTTAAACTAAAAATTAATTAATTAGCTAAACTAAAAATTAATTAATTAGTTAACTAAAAATTAATTAATTAGTTAAACTAAAAATTAATTAATTAGTTAAACTAAAAATTAATTAATTAATTAAGTAATAATTTTGATACCGGTTTTAGTGAACAGATACTCGAGTTGTTGATAATAACACCGCCGGTCGGCGATCTGGTCAACAACGGATAGGCTCGCAAACAGATCTGATAACACGATCGGAGATTGATGGTCATAAACTGGTCAAACTCGGCCAGCGATGCATTGGATTCGCCGCCGCCTTTGCCGGCATTGTTGACCACAACATCCAATTGGTTGTCGTAGTGTCCGATAATTGTGTCCATCATTTTGTCCACTTCTTGTTCGTTGGCCACGTCGGCCACCAATTCCAATGGCTTAGACGTGGAGGGGTTAGGAGGTGTGTGGGTGTGTCATACATATATACATACATAAAGAAAGAGAGAGAGAGAGAGAGAGAGAGAGAGAGAGAGAGAGAGAGAGAGAGAAATAAATAAAAACAATACAATAAATATAATACAGTTATTAAATATCTTATATACTGTATATATATATTGTTAATTAAAATAATTAATTATATTAATTATTTTAGTTAATTTTGTTAGGAAATAAAATATTGCTAATAATAATAATAGATTTTTATTTAATTTATTTTATTTATTTAGTAATACTAGTAGTAGTTTAGTGTTAGTTTTTTTTGTTACCGTATACCCTCCCCACCAAAAAAACACCGTTACCCTAACCACCCTACCCCCCTTTCAGCACATACCTGATAGTGTTTGGGCGATACGTCCCGACATTTGGCCGCTACTTGGGCTACGTTTTGCCGATTTCGGCCGTGAACTACAACTTTGGCGCCTAACTGGGCAAACATGATGACCGTGGCCTCGCCTATACCCGAGCTCGACCCGGTCACCAGTACTACTTTGTCGGTAAAGTCCAAAGTTAGGGCCATTTTTTTGATACAAAAAAGAGAGACTAAAAATATACAAAAAAAAATTAATACAAAAATTAATAATTAAACAAAAATGTTTTAATATAGAGTATAATATTTTTAGTATATATATATATAATAATCTATTTTAATGATAACATTATATCAAAAATATAAATTTATTTATTTACCGTAATATTTATTTAATTGATTTTTTTTCATCAACAAAAAAATAACCTTGATTTTGATGTATTTTGATATTATATAATCATAAATATTTAGTTATAATTATAACCTTAAATATGATTAATACAAACATAAAAAAAATCATAAAATATTTTTAAAGCTAATAAAAATGTTTGATAACAATAAAAAAAATAAGTTTTATTTAATGTCTTAGATTTTGTTTTTTATATAAAATAATAATTTAATTTAAAAATACAATATTTTCTAATAATTTATATATCAATCTAAATGTTTTAATTTTTTTTTTTTTTTTTTTTTGGTTGCATTTACTGATAATTTATAAGTTGACATATTTAACAATAAATTGCTTAAATAAATAAATATATATATAATAAATATATTGAAATAAATTTTTAAAAAAAAAATTAAATAATTTAAATATATATGTAAATAATACTATAATTTTTTTTTTTAAAAATATATAATCAATAGATAAAACAATAAATTTATCAATCAATTAATTAGATCGTAATGTCATTGTCTTAGCCGGTATATTATTACTATCATTATTACTAGCTATTGATATAATACTATCGCTACTATCGGTGCCGGCATCGGAACCACCACCACCACCAGTACCGGCACCGGTAGGTGATTGTTGTTTTTGTTGGTCTAGTTTACGATAGCTAACACCCTTAACCATTGTTTTTCTAGAGGAGGGAGGCCTATTAGCTATGGGCGTATAGGATTGCTTTTTATTATAACCTAACCAAACAACCAAAAAAAAAAAACAATATATATATATCATTATATATATACAGTATATATAGATATATAATAATACAATACATACACAAAATAATATAAACTAATAGCAATACGGCTCCGACTACTACCAGTCCAACTATAATACCGATAATTATCCAAACAATAGGACTGTTGTCGCCGCCGCCGCCGCCGGTAGTGGTAAGCACTGGTGGTCCCGATATGGTTGGTATAGTCGATAGGCCGCCGCCGCCAGTTGTGGTCACTTTATCATCGGTCGGTTGGTTTGTTGTTGGGGCCGCCGATGATAGCCGACAACCAAATACCAGTTCATCGATATCAAAGTCGGCCTAACAATAGTACCGATAATAATAATAATATTATTATACGATAACTAATATAAACCTAACATCTATTACCTGCTGACTGAAAATACCTGATCCCTGATACCGGAAAACCATATAACTATTGGTCACCAATTGAGTGGTCAGTGCATAATCGGCCGATTGATTGTAGCGGAAAAAACCGCGAAATACCAGATCGTTGGCCGAATTGTTCAGAAATTTCGGTTCACTTGACTGCCAATTGATGACAATCGGTTGCTGTTGTTGTTGGCCACCAGTAGTCCTATCGTCCAGTAGTGTTGTCCAATAGATACGGGTTTGGCCGCCATCGATAACATAGTGTACAATCTCGTAGGTATCGTCCAAATAGGTTGAACCGACATACAGGCTACGATCGCTGGCCGTTATCGGCCAGAAACCCGATCGACCGATATGATCATCGTTGGCCGACCGGATTACCGATTCGTTGGCCAACGAGTAGGGCATCTCCGATTGGCCCCTGATAGGCACGAATGTCCATTTGTCCATTAGGTCGGCGTAACGATAGGCTACGTACGACATTTCGGTGGCTACCGATCGCCGGCCGATAATAAACGACATGTTGACCAACTTGTGACAGTCTGGACTATTATCGGCGGCGACGGTAATCGGTCGGTGATCGGTGGTATCGTTGGTGGTGGTGGTATTAGTAGGTGTTGTAGTAGTAGTAGTCAGCAGACAATTGTCCGGCAATTGATTGAATAGGATACCGGTGCTGACTGTCTTAAAATCTATATATATATAAATCAATAGATAATTAGTAGGTATGGTGTAGTAGTAGTAGTAGTATATATATAATAGATATATATATAGAGAGAGAGAGAGAGAGAGAGAGAGAGAGAGAGAGAGAGAGAGAGAGATAGAGATAGAGACAGAGACAGAGAGAGACAGAGAGAGACAGAGAGAGACAGAGAGAGAGACAGAGAGAGAGACAGAGAGAGAGAGAGAGAGAGAGAGAGAGAGAGAGAGAGAGAGAGAGAGAGAGAGAGAGAGAGAGAGACAGAGAGAGAGACAGAGAGAGAGACAGAGAGAGAGACAGAGAGAGAGACAGAGAGAGAGACAGAGAGAGAGACAGAGAGAGAGACAGAGAGAGAGAGACAGAGAGAGAGAGACAGAGAGAGAGAGAGACAGAGAGAGAGAGAGACAGAGAGAGAGAGAGAGAGAGAGAGAGACAGAGAGAGAAAGAGAGAAAAATATCTGTTTTGTGTGTAATTTTAATTATAAAACAATACAATACATACTTCCCGATCGCCAATAGAGGTCGGCTACCTTACCTAACTGTCCCTTAAACTTATTGTCCACTACTTGCCTATAGATTAGATAATCTTTTCGTACATAATTATAGTTAGCCATTGAAAATATATTGATTAAATCGTTACTATCCGTACAGAAATCATCATTAGATGATAATACTAAACCAAACAATATATTATATGTTATCAATTGTAATATATAATAATAATAATAACTAGCAATCAATTGATTAAACATTTTTATTTGTGGTCATTAAAAATAACTATATTCTGTAATATATTATTTGATTTATTAATTTTAGTATATATTTTTTAAAAAAATAGTTTTACAGTTTGATTACAGAAAATCAAAATTAAATAATAACTATCAATAATATCAATATTATTACAAGTATTGTTAAATATACAGTTTGTATATTTTATATTATATTTCTATATGTTTTATGGATTTATTTATTATTATAATTATTTGAAAATTATATAAAAAAAAATAATTTACATTAATTAATTAATTAATTAAGCAATTTGATTGTTTGAAACGCGCAAACAATAATCATTCAAATATTTAATTATTAATTATAACATAAATTAAACAAATAAAATATAACACAACAAAATGTTAACTTTTTATATAATATAAGTATAAATATTATATATAAGTTTAATATAATAATAATAATTAAAAAAATAATTACTGTAGTTCTTTTCAAATTAGTTTTTATTATTGAAATTCACAAAAATTAAAGTTAGAAATTAAATTAATTTTAATTAACTATTAGATTAACAGATTAATATATATAGTAATCGTATATAAAATTTTATTTATAATTATTTATTTTCAAATAAAAATATATTAATTTATAAATTTATAGCAAATTTACAAAAAAAAAATCAATGATTACTATAGTAATCGTATAATAATTTAAATGATTTATCAGTACATGAGCTGATGGATGCGGCCGTAAATATGATAAATAAAAATGCAATCAAACATACAATTAGACAATAGCTTAGAAATAGTTTCGGTATGATATCCAATGATACAAATGTTATAATAAACAATAGGATAACAATACCCGTACCGAAAATCAACCAAACATTTAGCAAAAACTTTGACCAATAAGTTTGATTGAAGTCCGAGATATCGGCAAACAATTTGTCCATTGATTTCATTAAATCTATAATACGTTTAGTTGTAGTATTAGTTGTCGGGTGTTGTCTAGCATTCAATTGTCGACCTAATTGTCGTAAACATTGAAACTGCCGGTGCTTTATATAGCGGCACAGTATGTAAAAGTAGATCAATTCATAGGTAATTGAATTATATGAATAATATATACATAGTGTTGCTAACATAATGTTAGGTATATAAGCCAATAATAGGACAAACCAGTAATCAAACGATACATTCAACATATAGCCGGTTATGGTTATCGATGCAAATAATATTGGTATTATATACGAGTTATTAAACAGACATAACTGGCACAACCAGCTCATCCGTTTGATAAGCTTCTGGATCTCCTGGGGATCGGTTAGACCAACCGACAGGGGTGTCCGCCGCAAACCGGACATCATTTCAAATATACACATAAATTTCGGTTCAATACCTGATAAATAATTATAGTAATAGACTAATACTGATAATACAGTCAATAGTATCATCAATGATGAAAATATATTTGACAATCTATTTATACCCAAAAAGTATCCCCAATCGCCTAACAGTCCAAATAGTAGCCAATTGTCTGAATCAATGTATAAACATATTATGTGTTCAATGATATAAATCATTGAAACAGTAATTATAATTACGGGTCGATTAAACCATAGTCTCTTTGGTTGAGGACAACAATCATCGTCGGCGACGCCAACTAATCGATGGTTACTTAAGCCGATTCGGTATAAATGATAGGCCGACCACTTGTATACCATATCTGGCGGTAATAATTTATTTGGTGAAAAATATGGTAATTTTTTCATTTTAAAAAATTAATTATTATAAAATAGCTTATGAAAAATAAATTGATATCTAATATATATACTGTATATATATATATATATTTATATATTGTATATTTATGAGTAATGTTATTTAAAAAGCTATAGTAATATTTGATATTTTTAATAAAAATTTATTATATTTTATATAAATTAATTTTGCAAATTATTAACTAAAATAAATGCACTTAACTTTTTTTTATATATATAATGTTAATTATTATATTAATCATAGATATTTTTAGATGACATTATTATTACTTTATATATTATTTGTAATTAATATAAGCATTTTTTTATTGAACTTAAACAAACTAAACTAAATTTAATAATTATATTTAATTAGTTATATAAATATAATTTTACTGAAATTATTATTTTTTACAGAAAAAATTACACAATTATTACGCAAATTATCATTGATTAACAAAATTAATTTCTATAAATATTTCATTAAGTGTTTGTTTGTTTA